ATCTATCATTCCCCAACATCCAAGCAATGCACCGAACAGAAACAAAGCATGAATAGCACGTTTAACACACTTAATTCTAAACAATTATATAAATCATAGCAAATCAATAAAGACATAAATGAAGGCTTTGACTTAAAAGACTGATACTGTTGTTTAAGGATAGGGGTGTAGAATAAAGAATTACTTGCATGTAACATTATACAAGAAAACCAGCTGCTACAGGATCACAGAGGGCACCGTCATCAGGAAAAGCACAATTTGGGACTTTATACCACTAACACGTACACAAAACCTCACTTAGCTCCAATATCTTTTCTTAATGACAAGACAATTTGAATAAATCTTTCAAGGACATTAAAAGGCCTGACGAAGCAAGACAAGACAATTCTTCCAAGGACAATAGGAATATCACATAAAAAGGCCTGACAAAGCAAGAAAAAAATAGAATAAATAAAAAACGAAAATTAAAACGATTCAGCTGCAAGAAATTAAAGAATTGTCCATCATGAAGTAATCCGCTTCGTCCGTCAAATGCAATCAAAAGAGGAAAGCGTACTGTCCAACTTTAATAGGTTCAACGCTAAGCATACCTTTAGCTTTAAAGGGTTAAAATGATCAATATGAACGGTTTCATGGCAAATACTTTCCCACACCGTCCTGTCCACTTGTAAATGACGTCTTATTGTGGTACATTGTAAGGAAGACATTTACATATATCTCTGCATTAATATTTCAGATAAAAAGAGTTCTATATAAACGTTGTGAATAATAATAATAATAATAATACGTGGCGTAGGGTCAACCACTGCAACACTATTGTTTTGATTTAATTGCGGATTCTATTATGTACAAGTTTGAAGGGTCGACTTTACTAAAAGCCCAAGCCCATGTAAAACGTCCGTGGGACCTCCGCTTGGCAGGGTCGTTTTCATGACCGGCGATTTGTTCTTTCGGTATATAAGTGTACGTAATAAACACAATGTGCGTAGGGCCAACCGCTGCAACAATATGTTTTTATTTCATTGCAGAAATGTAAGGCAGAAAGTCCGAGCACAAGTAAAACATCCGCGTGGCAGGGTCGTTTTTCGTGACTGGCGATTTCTTCTTTGTTCGTATATAAGTATACATAAAAACACGTGCGTAGGGCCAACTGCTGCGACATAATTCGTCTGATATCGTTGCGGATTCGAATATGTACAAGTTTGAAGGGTCTCCTTTACAGAAAGGTAAGGCACAAAGCCCTAGCCCAAGTAAAACGTCCGTAACCACAAAATTTGACATACGCTTTTCTATCATCAAATACAGTTTACAGGTGTCATTGTTCTTTAACAAGTAATTTTCAAGTTAAAAACAGAGGAAAGTTAAAGTCCTCTTTCAAAACCATTTTTTTAATAAACGTTTAAACTCTACATACTTTCCCAAAATCAGCAATTTTATTGGTAATTATTCCTAAAACCCGATGATTTTTCAAATAATAGAGAAAAACCTATGATTGGTGTTAAACTTATTACAGTTCATACATTTATAGATACATTTATTGATGGATAAATAACTATACAAAATGTAACTCTAAAGACAGGTGCCATTTTGACAGTACATCTTTCGTTGCCAACTAGATAATGTCTGAACTTGCTTGTTTTTTGTTATAAGTAGATATACCTTAGTTATTTTTGAATAGACCTAAAGATAAACAGGAAAGATCGTACATATTCACACATAAATTAACTTGAAGGTCAATTCATTGCAATTTTCTTTTCTTTTTTGCTGTAAGTGGCTGTAAATATGTTATTATTGAATAGATTCATTTCATATACAGATTCAATTTTCTATAGCAATATGTAACGACGTTCATGTATATCAATTGGGGGATACACTTTTTATGTAAAGCTACCTTCTTATACAAGAAAATAAGCATTTTATAAATAAAAAGATGCACTGTTTTCGATTTCCTTGAAAATTCGGCATACAATATCAAACACACGGAAAATGTCAACGTCATTATATAACGCAGATTTATTATGTTAATGAAATACGCCGCCGGATTTTGAGTCCCTTCACAAAGATTGTCAAAATGTATATTTTTATGGCATGTAGAAATACATGTTGTATCGCTTAGTATTTCAAATTTCTACAATAAGCAATTATTCTTAATATATTAACATTATTTCCATGATAAACTAATATTGTCATTCAAGGGAAAGATATAGAGAAAACTAGAAATGTGTCCATGGGACACGGGTGCCCCCACACTCCATTGTTTTGTCAATCTTATGACTTTAGGTCAAATATTTTTTTGAGCTTCATGTGCCACAAGCTGAAAACTAAAAATCTTTTACTAGGTCAAGGGCAAGAAATTTACAAATACTGAATAAATCCACAAGCAAATCCCAAGGTGCATAAGTACATGGCTGACCAACATTCTTGTAAACTTTCGGACATTCAGGTCAAATATTTTTGAGCTATGCATGAACAAGTTGAAAATTGAAAATTTATACTAAATCAATGGCAATAACTACTCTAACAAAACTGAAAAAAAAAAATCCACATGCAAAACCCCATGTGCATAGCTTCACAGTGATGTTGAGCATTATTCCTGTAAAGTTGGTTGATTCTAACTCAAGTACTCAAGGAACAAATAACACAACTAATGGAACGGTTTTTACTAAGTCAGGGGCAATATTTTTAGAAATACTGGATAAATCAAAAGCACAACCCGGGGTGCACAACAACACATGCTGACCAACATTCCTGTAAAGTTTCATGACTATAGGTCAAATACGTTTTGAGCTACATGCGACACAAAAGAGACGGACGGATAAGGGTAAATCTAAATGCCACCCCCTCCCCTAAAATGGGGGCACAAAAAGATTAAATAAATTCTTGTCTGCATGTGATTGATATTATCAACCACATGAAGTCGGTCAGACCGAGCCTGCAACATTTTAAATTTTGCCGTGTTGGGCTTTCTTTAGGGATTCTTATTTTCTCTATTTTATCGCCACATCAGCGTTGTTTGCGCCGTGTGGAGGCTGTTAAAAGTCGCCCCGTACATTTAAACAGAGATCCTTAAAGATCGTTCAGCATGACATTATTGTTGAGCTTGTGGTAATTTAGTTCTTTCTATTCGGCCATTTTCTTGTTGGGTGGTTCCAGTATTCCTCACTTGAATACTGTTGAATCACCCTTATCTGTGATATGAAGGCTTCATAACCTGATCCCCTTTCAAAAATCTATTTTATTTAGTCCCGCCCATTGTTGGCTCGTTTAGGGCACACGCATTTTTTTACTTGGGGACCATATGCCGCTTTTCATGGAATGGCACTTACGTGTCACATTGAAGGTTCCATGATAACCGCCATATGAACACATCTGCAGATGTTTCAAAATTCAAAATTGTACCAGTTCATATTAAATGTTGATTTCTGCTTAAGCCGGTGCTAAGGGGCGTGGACGGTAACTCGCACATTCCATTACCGTCCATGAACAGGCTCAATCAAACATAGCCTGCAACATTTTTAATTTTGCCGTGTTGGGCTTTTTTAGGGATTCTTATTTTCTCTATTTTAATTTCTGATTTTGCAAACTTTTTTCGAGGAGTGATTATTATATACTCACAGACAATTCCATTTTATTATTGGAAAAACAAAGAGGAAAACGTTCAGCGTATTGCAAATTTTACAAAATTGTCCACTAAGACATCCCTTCCAAACCAAACTTATCATATAATCTATGTTGTGTCTCTAGGAACTAAATAAGAGAAATGGCAGATTTAAACTAAAAATTTAAGATGCTTGAAATTTGATTATTTTGTAAGGTGTCAGAAACATCTCGATCCTTGTAATCACCACTCGTTCAGTTGAACGTAAGTAATAAAATATCTTACAAGCAATAAGATACCCATACTAATATGATCACAGAAGTGTGATATACTAAATTAGTTTTATAAAAAGTTAAGATAAATTATATAGCATGTGGTGAACCTGAATTTTGTCAGGGGTACGTCCTTATACCGTTTTCAGGTTTTACGTCCTTAACTCTACACGTGTAATTTTTTGTGTAATTTATGTAAAACTACATTCTCAGAATGATTGCAAAACGTGTTTACAAAAAATTTTTCTTATATGGTGTAAATTTCAAGTTCCCTTGTTCTGTACAAACTTTTTTGCAAGGGGCGTGTATTCAATTTTTTGGGGTGAAATCAAACGTGTCAAATTGAACTACTAGATTTGACAGATATGAACAAAAAACGTACCAATATCATCGTCACCACCGCAATCATCATCACCATTATCATCACTATCGAAATTTTACATTTTCTGCTTGTTATCACCATTATCTACGACATAATTATTTTTGAGTTAATGACACAATCCTCATGAGAAGCAACAACAGGACGATCATATCTTTTATCATCATCACCGTTATCATTATCATCATCATCATCATCACGGTCATCATTATCGGACTCAAAGCACTGTCACTCAATCCATAACCAAAGGCATAATTATAAAGATGAACATCATCTTTATGTGTAAAAGCAGCAGCATGGTGGCATCATATCATCACTTTATTAACATTGTTACAATCAAGGTACTTCTGCTCTCATCATCATTTATTTGTAAAAGACAAACATTTCATTTTCATTTTTTAGGCATTTACGTTATTTTGTTTGTCTGAATTAAAAAATTTAAGTACATTAGAGTAAATCGTCTAAGTATTAATAAATTAAATCCTTATATTTGTATGTCTAATCATGCCAAAATTAAGAAAAAAATGACACACTTTTTTTCTAAAATATGGGTTCGGACGAACGGAATTACCACATTTATGGGTTTATGGGCTTTTAATTTGATCCTTCGGTAGCATTTACTCACATAAACCATTGACATTTTCTGCTGAAACCAACATTTTATGTTATTTTCTACTTTTTAAAAAATCTATTTTTGGACAGAATGAACTTCATTTCAACTATAAAAGATAAAAGAACAATATTAATCACGATTTGTTCAAAAATAAGGAGAGGAAAAAATAAAATCTAAGATTTTTTAAAAACATTTAATCAATTAAATACCAATAACAAAGCATTCAACTAGTATAATCCAAAAACTTTGCCTCCAATACGTTTCTGAAACACAGAGAAACAAAATAAATTACACCTGCCATTCGTCAATCTAAAATTAATTACATTAGTTAACAACAACAGGGATGTTATCATACAACCTAAGTTTTTTCGACGGCAAAAATCAATTTTGCTCTTTTATAATATCATAGCGATTTTCAATAGTCATAATTTAGAAGATTATGATAAAAGTGATAAACATAGACGGATGAAATATACGTCTTTTGACAACTGACAACAGTCCAACCATACAAGTTATATTTATTGTAAAACGTAGCATTCCAAAAACCAATGCAACAGTGTGTCTTTAGTGTTATAGATTCTTACACAACAAAAACATTCTTTATAAACTTAATGTTTACTCCTCAATTGGAGTCGTTCAAATTATTTACATACTAATTGGCATTTTATGCTTTATCGATTTTTAAAAGACAAAGAGGCATTTTGCGGCTACTTGTCCCAACCATGGTACTCTTCAAATAAATTTGCAAAACGAGATGAAAGGAAAATATATTGATTCACACGATTGACTTTAATTATACGCTGATTATCAAGATGAAATGATTGCCGTTCTTTTCTTGTAGTTACTATCATATCAAGTGCTTGTTAATAAATGACATCAGCTTGTTGTGTTGTTTCTAGAAGTAATTAGAGAAATGACTTACTGGTTCTGATACACCTGGAATACTACATCACCTCCATTCTCATTGACCCTTCCATTGTTTACCGCCGCACGACATATCGGCAGATTCTTGAAAATAATATACCCTTTTTCAATTATTAATGAATGGTTAAAAAAGAAGAACGATGCTCTACTGATCATAATGTGTTTTATATGATTCCATATTATGGTGGATTAGTAAAAGAAGAAATCAACGTTAAACCAAACCTTAAATTGGCACATTCCAACTTTTTAACGAATGGAGTATTTCATAAGATTGCAAGATTTCCTTTTCTGTGAAGAAGATCGTTTAACATTTAGTATACTAAAAATCATTATTCAATCACTCACGGGTCATTTCATATTTTTTATAAATAATTGTATGAATTTATTCAACTTACGACGGCGTATCCTGTTGCTACAAACTGGGGATTTAGATTTGCACATCTTTTAGGACATGTTCCGCTGGAAACATTAAACATAGACTATATAAAATTAATAGCATGGATTTAATTGTTGTATTGTCGCTCACATTAGCAAAATGGAACGAATTATAATCTTATATTACATAATTAATTAATAATTTTTTTACACAAATGGGGAGATTTTTATACCTATATCTTAGACAATAATCTCAAAACATTATTGTTATAACTTTTACTTAAGATATCTAAATTTACACAATTGCACGTTTATCAGGGACATTGTTTTGCGAAAGTAGTCATCTGTTTAATTTTCGAGTTTTATTTCGAGTTCTCAAAATGCGGAACAAAAACTAAAGTTGTTCTAAGTAAAAAAAACACTGGGAAACTGTTTAATTCGACGTATAGTCTGGTAACAAGATTCTACAAAACTAATTAATAATCATTGCTCTTAACAGGATATACATTTGGCTTGAATACGTATAGAGAATAAGACCTTAAATCAACAAGGAAGGCGAGACTATACAGAACGCAGTCCCCAATAAAATAAATTAAGACAGGACAACTGATAAAGAACAGAAACAAAGTCGTACAGAAACAGGACGTACACCACATTTAATTATTAACAATTATTAAAATGATAGAAAATTCAATAAAGACATTTAAAAAGGCATTGACTTAAAAGGCTGATATTGGAGTAAAAGAGGAGGGACAAACTTGCAAACTAAATGTGAAGGCAATATTAACCATTGACGGAAAATAACCAGATGGAACATAGGGACAATAAAAGTATCTTAATACATATGTTCTTGGATGTAACATTTAACAAGAAAACCAGCTGCTACAAGAACACAGATGGCACCGTAAGCAGGAAAAACACAATTTGGGATTTTAGACCAATAACACGTACACCAAACCTCACCTAGCTCCAATATCTTTTCTTAATTACAAGACAATTTGAATAAATCTTTCAAGGACAATAATATAATCACCTTAAAAGCCTGACGAAGCAAGACAAAATAAAATAGAATAATAACGAAAATTAAAACTATTCAGCTGCAAGAGAATTGCCCATCATAAAGTCCTCCATTTCGCCCATTAAATGCAACCAGAAGAGGAAAGCGTACTGTCCAACTTTGAATAGGTTCAACGCTTAGCATACCGTTAAATTAACTTTAAAAGGTAAAAATGTTAAAAAAGAACGGTTTCATGAGCGATACTTACCCACAAATAGCACCGTCCTGTCCGCATACTTGAAACATAGTATCACACGTGAATGACGTCATATTGTGGTACACTGTAAGGACATAGATATACATATATTTAGGAATCACTCTTTGTAATTTATAATTTAATGAAAAGAGTTCCATATGAACGTATAATAATAAGAAAACAATTATGATTATTAATTAGCGAATGATAATCATACTGGTAAAAACATTGCATGAATTACTAAGTTTTATAAAGTCAATGAAGCCGAAGCGGAGCGAAAACACGATAATTACCGGGGGCGCGGGGCAAAGTTTAATAAATAAAACTTCGCCCGGCGCCCCCGCTAATTAGTGTATTTTTGCCCCGCTATTCTGCCAAGCGAAAAGTCAAGAAATGGCGAGGCGAAAACACGAAAGGCACAAATCAGCCGCCATACATTTGTCTATAATTGGCTGATTCTGTTAGTAGTCGGTCATTTGCGCAAAATGGGTAAGCACTGGTCAGTTATCCAGGAAAGTCGGAAAGTTGGATCGACGACCAAAATATGACCACAACAATGTTTTAAAATCGGCGAAAATTAACAAGAAACACAGAACAAGTTCAATAAAACCTTTATACCATAAAACGATGCAGAAAATGTCCCTTTATCTGTGATTGCCTGGCACTGATATTCTCCTGAATCTTTGGTAGACTCAAACCTGAATATTATATCTTCATTAGGTAATATTTGATGAGTTGGTAGGCCGCCGTGTATTTTAGAGTAGGTAGTTGTATGTTGATTAACGTTCTCTACAATACATCCATCGTCAACAGAATCACCTGGACTTACAGATACAAACTTCCTCAACGCTGAAATCACTGGCTGTTTTGCTATGAAAATAGAAGTTACATTAGTTATTGATCTCTTGATTTAAAAAAAATGTTTGATGTATATGTTGATTTAAAAAAATGTTTGATGTATATGTGTATTTAAACTTGACAAAAAGAAAGAAAGGTGTTTTGCTTTTTACTTTGTTTGTCATAAAAGCAACAATGTTGTTCGGATGAATACATAGTTCAATATCAAAACACATTTGAATACAATATTGTACAATCCTGAATGATATTTTGAGTTAATTCATAAACTTTTTCTACTTGATATATACTCACAATCTACAACCAAAATAATTGTTTTCGTTGTTGTTCCGAGTATATTAGTCGCCTTGCATGTATACCTTCCAGAGTCGGTTAGTTTTACAGAATCAATGGCTATTCCTATTGGTGTCGTAACAGTTCTGTTACTAGGGATTTCTCCATTTTCTCTCTCCCACGTGATATCCGGTGTAGGATTACCGTCTGCTACACACGGCAACAATACGGTGTTTCCAACATTTGTAGTTATTTGTAAATCATTTGACCCTCCTTGAAATACTGGAACTTCTGTTGGTTTCAAAACAGCAGTCATTTAATTATATTAGGAACAACAAAAATAGTTAGTTTTATTATTCTTGTAAAATCTTTGTAAAATCAAGTTTTATGCTTATGGAATAGTGGGTTTGAAAATAAACTGAGATTTACGTTCTATGGCAATAAAAATATTTTTTTAGATTTTAACCAAATACAAATGTATCCAAAAATCAAAGCCTGGTTTTACTTTTTATTTTTTGTATCATAAAAACAGTCTTTATGAAATGACTGATTTAACACCTACGTAAATTCTGGCAGCAGTTATTGGACGGTGCATTTCCCTGCAAGAGTTAAGATAATGATATTAACCCCTATCAAGATAATGATATTAACCCCTATCAAGATAATGATATTAACCCCTATCAAACATGATTTGAACATCTATAAAAAATGTAAAAATTGTTGTAAAGCATCTGTGTGAACAATATCTCTGCCCGAGCTAGGCCAGTATCGCTTTATGCCCCACCGCAAGCTTTTTTACAAGGACCTTTTTACATTATTACAAACCTCATTAATTAGGATTGAATAATCAAAAATGCATACTTCCATAGAGATCAAGTAATATTTGTATGCAATAGATACAATAGATAATTTTATTCTATGTTTTTTATTCTCATGTAGCAATTGTTCATGTAATAGGCCTATACAAGCAACATATCTGATAAGATGGAAGGCAAACACTCGTTTAATTAATACTACATTCATTATAACTTTCATAACTTTTTACCATTTACATACAATGTACAAGTACTTGATTAATAACTTGATACAATAATTTCTACATACTTCCTCGCCCTTTTCACCTTTAATCCCTTGTGCACCAGTATAACCTTGTACCCCTTTGATACCTGGATCACCCTTAGGTCCGACCGGACCTTCTCCGCCGGGAGCTCCTTTCATACCAGCGTAACCTAGATTTTATAGTGACATAAAGTAATGATAAACTATAACGATTGTATATTGTTTTACTTGATTTCAGTATGCAATCTTTTTAAACAACAATGAAGAAGTAAACATCATCGAATATACCAATAAAAATGTGAAACGAGTGGCGAAGAAACAAGAATAAGTAGCTCCTCTGTTGTTCATGAGATGAAATGTGAAACTTATCATTTGCTAAATCTTAACATGAAATCACAATGTTTGCCTTTTAGAACTGATTAAAAAAAAAGAAATCACTACCACATCTCAAATGAACTTGCAGATTATCTCATGAGAGGAGCATGGTAAAATCAAAACTATTTTCTTTGCATATGACGAATTTAAATTTACCCTTTTCCCCTTTAACTCCAGCCTTTCCAGGTACCCCAGTTTCACCTTTCGGACCAGTAGGTCCGACTGACCCCATTTCACCTTTATTTCCTGGCGCTCCATCATTTCCGGGTTCTCCCTTTGTTCCTTGAGTACCCGGTAATCCGGACAAACCATGTTTACCCATTTCTCCCTTTTGTCCGAGTGATCCTTTAATACCTTGCTGTCCGCTATTACCAATAATAATAAGATGGTGATTATGTAAATTATCCAAGTTAAAACATCCGATAGATGCTTGCTATATATCCTGTTCGTGTAACTCAATAAAACCTTAATAAATTTATATATTTTTCACATTTAACTAACATATAAAATATCCGAATTATCCAAGCCTTATATATTAAGATCTATCTTTAAGTTAAAATGTAGATTGCAATTTACATACACATCCCCTTTCTCCCCCTTCAAACCCGGCAAACCGGAGTCACCTTTTAAACCAACGTTTCCTTGGCTACCTTGCTGACCCATATTACCTTTGTCACCTTAAATGTAAACATAAAACTTGTTTTATATAGTGTGAACTTAAGAGTTTCATTATAATGAAGAATTGTAAAGTCAAGATGTTCAAATCTGGAAAAAGTGTGATCCCTCGGAAGAAGTAAACAACAAAGATACATGAAAATTACAGACTCGGTTTGATTGAGTCTGTACATGAGGGATAATGAAAAGGAGCAACGCCCCCTACCACCGGCTTCAGTGGTACTCAATTTTCAACATAAAAAAGTGTTGGAATCGATGATAAAATATAACAAAACTAAAATGAAGTACGGGCAACCTTTTACAGCTGCCACATAGCACTTAACACCTGCTGTTGTGAAGCATGAAAATCTGGAAAAAGTTGTGTGTTCAAAGCTGTTGAATATCAGCGTGACCAGTTTTACTTAATATTATCCGCAATGACTTATTTGATACAAGGGTCATTATTTATATTCTAATATGCACTTTTAACCTACCTTTTTGTCCATTTTCCCCTTTTAGGCCCGGACTTCCAGCTGCTCCTTTGCTGCCGTCCTGTCCTGGCAACCCCATTGTTCCGTTTTCTCCTTTTTCGCCGATATCACCTTTAGTACCTTTACTTCCTACCTCTCCTTTCTGCCCATTTGCTCCTGCTTCTCCTTTATAGCCTTGTATTCCCTGAACACCTTGCTGTCCTGTATCTCCCTTTTCTCCTTTTGTACCATTTAATCCTGGAGACCCGTCAACACCTGATAATCCTATTTTACCAGGTTCTCCTTTAACTCCAGGGTCGCCATGTTCGCCTTTCGTTCCGTTCACACCAGGAATTCCATCAATACCATTTGTTCCATGTATGCCTTTCATTCCTTTCTCTCCCTTTTGACCGGGTAATCCAGAAAGGCCATGTACTCCCTTCTGACCTTGTTCCCCTTTCATTCCTGGTTTTCCCGCAAGACCATCTGTTCCATTGACACCATCTATTCCACTGTCACCCTTATTTCCTTTCATACCCGGTTGACCTATCAGACCCTTATCTCCTTTCGGTCCTTCTGGGCCAGGTTTGCCATCGGTACCATTCAGTCCATCAATTCCTACAGAGCCCATTTCTCCTTTTATACCTTGTATACCTGTTAAACCAATGACACCTTTCTCTCCCTTATTTCCTGGGTTACCGGTACTACCGATTCCACCTGTTTCTCCTTTAATTCCTTGCATACCACGATCTCCTTTGTTTCCAACTAATCCGTTTGCACCTTTAGGTCCTATTAGGCCCTGTTTACCTTGTATTCCCATTTCTCCTTTCTGTCCAGGTAAACCATGTAGACCTGTTGCACCGATATCACCCTTTACTCCAGGTTCTCCTTTAGTACCGTTATAGCCTTGATCTCCTCTCATTCCTTGTTCACCTTTAGGTCCTTGATTTCCTATATCACCTTTAAGCCCATTAAAACCAACGTCGCCTTTATCACCCTTTGAACCCATGTCACCCTTAACACCATCTGTCCCGTTCATACCAGGCATCCCATCATTTCCTGGTGGTCCTATAATTCCTTGCTGTCCCTTAGAGCCAGGTATACCTGGTGATCCATCAGTTCCATTCACACCCGGATCACCTGTTACACCTTTATCTCCCTTTGAACCTGTTAAACCCGTCTGGCCCTGTACACCTTTTGCACCATCGGTGCCATTATACCCTTGTAGACCCATTTCTCCTTTTTCACCTTTTACTCCATCAGAACCATTTATCCCCGGAGCTCCTATGTCACCTTTAGAGCCTTGTACTCCTGGAAGACCAGCGAGTCCATTAGTTCCATTAGATCCCGGCTTACCATCAATACCAGGGTTACCTTTATCACCTTTTAAACCATCAGTACCATTATATCCTTGTTGACCATCTAAACCAGGGATTCCAGGTTCTCCTTTTATACCAGGAGTACCGTCTGTACCGTCTGTACCGTTGAAACCTGGCAAACCATCATTGCCCCTGTCACCTGGATCAATAGTTAGTTTTTACATTTTATTACATATATTTATCAATGATTCTAGCAAAATTACACACGCATATACAAAACGTTAAAAGAATTTGGATCTTCATAATATGGTCATACAAATTATATATTTAACTTTATCTGGCGGTTACAACTGACGTTTCTTCCTTTGATTATCCTAAATATTTTGAATTTGGCAACAGTGCTTATATCTTTTACTGATAAACACATTTTGAAAATATTTGAAACTTCAAATCAGTCTTACCTTTGGGTCCTTGAGGTCCACCTGTACAAAATGAAAGCAAATAAATCATTTATTGACAGTTTAACAGTAGTCAATAGAATATATTATCCCCGTGTGTTATAAACACATGAGAAACAAAATATTTATCTTAGAATGAATAAATCGACTTTCTGTTAAGTAATATAATAAAATAATCATTTGTTCCAAACCATTATAAAGGTTGATTCCGTGATTTGGCATGAATATGTCAAATTGAAAGTTATTAAAGCATAACTCTCATGTTAAAGCTGCATGTCTATTTGAGCTAAAAATACCAGGAAAATCAACTTTAAAAAGATACTAAAATAATATGAAAAGTATTTTTTACAAATTCAAGTAAAACGTTATATGATGCATGCAATAAAAAACTGGTTTTCAGTTTTTACTACCATTTTTCAACTGCGTGTCTAAAGCAGTAAGGGTTTTATGCATATTTTACATTTATTTGGTAATTTTTACATGGATTAAAAGAGGCTTTTGCAAGATGTGAATTACTTTCTTTGTTGACATGAAAATATTTTATTATTTTATTGATTTTAAAAGTTTTCATGAAAATTAGCTTGAATTTGGAGGCATGCTGTTTTAACAATTATGTGTATATGTTACTTACTTCTAAACCTAAATTGTGCCATTTATCAAATTTCTTAAATCAGTACTACGGATTTTGGTTTACATAAACCACTACGTCCATGAATGTCTTTAACATTTCAGTTTTGGCATGTAAGATACTCTAAGGTTTCTTCGTTTCACTACATAGATACCTTACAAATATGTTTAAAAAACAACTTAGGCAAAATCAAAGTTCAAATTCAATGAATTAATTTATACATACTTTAACAAATCCTAACAACCATGTAATATTCTATTTCTTTATAGAAAAGAAACTCTTTTAATACCAAATGCCGATATAAAATCAATTAATTTTATACTAGAACTATCTCACCTGAACACAAGACTGTTCCATTTGATAAACAATATTTTTGTATTTCATTCTGAAAAACAACAACAACATAATTTTCAATTACATTTTGAGGGAAATCGCACTTTTTTCGTGCATTAACATCTAGGCATTTTAAGTATGAGCCCGCAGTACGAGAGATTAAGTAAGTTCGATGGGGTTCTGCAGAAAATGTACGAAGCGTAGTTATCTGATTCGGTAATTCTGCGTTTTGTATTTAGAAACTACTTTCGTAATGTTTTAAGTTTATAAGTTCGATTGTATTGATCGCATATTGAAAACTCTCGAATCCTTTACTGTAAGCAACCAGTACTAAGCAATTAGTGAAAGTTTCTTGCCCCTTATGTTTACATGCAGTCAAAAGTAGACAAGAAGATTTCGCGTTAATGCATGTTTTGTCTTCGTTAATGTATACGTGTGTGCGGCTTTATGCAGGAATGTTGAATTATGCAGTTATATTTTCATGTAGGTATTTTACTGTTGATTGCTACAAAACTATTTTATTGATGGAAAGTTTTGAATTTGAAAAATGCCAGATTTAAGTGAAAAATATTTTCATATCTTATTAAAAGCAATTCGAAATATGTTTACTCTGTCGAAAAATCCTATTTTGAGACTTTGTAGCTAAACATGAACACAATTCAAAAATATTTTAAAGAATCTCGGCAATTGATTTTTAGGTACAAAATTAAATATATGTACACGCTTATGTCATTGCAAGAACCATTATATACTGCTAATAGGCATACAATAAAAACAAATGGGCTTATTGATTAAACAGACTTACATGAAATCTCCGTTATAATTATACATGCCTCGGTACTGCGATATGGATTAATTTTGTTTTGTCTCCAAAACAGAACCATCATATTGGCCCCACAGTGGGGATAGACGAAAGGTAAAATCTCCCCCTCAATACCCCTGCGTATCACCGAATTGTCTCGAGAATTAAGGACAGGAGTTAAAATCACCTACAATGTAGTACATTAGCCTACTTGATTTCATTACCATCAAATATTGTATAAAAATTTTACTAGACACTCAAGAGAACGGTTAAAACTTACTTGTAAATCTGTTAATGTGAGTGTTGGTTGTAACTGTCGTCTACTGACACCAATGTTGTTGCTAGAGTCCTGAATAACATAATGTTCAGTTGCAATATATCAATGTAGGTCCAATCATAGAGTGATAATATCTGCCATATGTTATTCTTTGTCTCAAGGGTACCTGCCCATTTGGCGGTAACTATAGGCTTAAGGTAAACAAAAACCCTAGGGACGGATATTCCATTCCGAACCGCAAACACGAGCCATTCCGAACCGCAAACACAAGTCAGAAATTTTTCCTTTCATTTTTTATCATATATTAGGTGGTTTTTACCTCCATGAATCAATTTTTCATGACATTAATTAAAGTCTGGCCAAATACTGTACCCAGTCTAGTACAATATTAAGGAATGTATGCTAACTTCCACTTAAGCAAAAAGGACACATTTGAGCATTATGTGAAATTTGCGTTATATAACCACATCAGTCTGCAACTACAATGTACTCATGATGAACTAGTAAATAGAAAATAGGCCTCCCAAATTGGAAAAGCCTTACATTATTTAGATCTATTTATAATTAAAGAAGTCCGGATCGATGGATCTTTGCCCTGAATTGCGTGTTTTATCCATTTCCGATAGAATTACAATGTTATCGCACAAAACGTATTTATCCCATACCCGTGTCGATTTTGCGACCCTGTAAATATGGTATTGCACGTCCGTGCATATATTTTGACGTGACGTCATTTACGTTATACAGACATACATGTTAACAGTTTAAAGACGCGCTTAATGTTAGCGTAACACTATAGGCGCATCAATGAAAAATAATTCGTTTGCAGTTTAAACAGTCTTAATTTTAGGTATGTGATAATTGTGTAGGTTCATTACTGAACTTATTGAACCCGTGAAATAATATAAAATTTTGCTCGCCAGAAGCTCGCATAATATAATTTTATTCAATTTGCTCAATAAATTCAGTATAGAAAATATCCTCTATTTACAAAATAGGGATCAACTATCTTTGAGAATGATAGGTATATGGAAACGATTAACTTACTCACTTTTACAGGAAGGCTTTCTTTAATCAATTGAATATCTTCTTTTAAAATTTCTATTTGTAGAAATTGAAATAAAGTAACTCCAAATAACAAGATTGTACTGAATGTATGTAAAAATGTAAATAATCGGAACACATTATTATTATCCTGAGATTTTTGTATATTTGACATTTTGTTCTTCAGACAACAGTGGTCAAGTTTGTTGTGAAATCTTATCTTGATAACTGAAATTTAATCACATACGCACCAAGCTAAATTTGTGCGAGATAAAGTCAGGTTTAAATAATGTTTACTTTTGTACTATTAAAATAAATAGATCTACAGGGCACAATGGCATCTGTTCCATCAAATAATAATTTTAGACATCACATCTAGAGTACACATATTTTGATAGGGAAAGTAGATCTACTGTAGAGCCATGAAGCTAAATATTTGTTTATATATCTGTGGTAGAGCTATATATAATTTTGTTCAAATTTGACACTTTTACTTTTTTATAAACAACTACCAGTACTTATTCTTTCTTTGCCTTATGTTTGCACGTTTTTTGTTGTTGTTTTTTGTTTGTTTGTTTGTTTTTGTTTGTTTGTTTTTTTTTTTTTTTTTTGTTTTTTTTTTGGGGGGGGGGGGGATGGCACATTTTTTCTATTTATTTATTTATATTTGTTTATTTATTTATTTATTTTTTTATAGAAAAAAAAAACAAGTAAGTAGAGGATATTCAAGTTTTTCCTATAAATACATGATGTTTTTTTCATCGAGTGGTATGAAAATAAATATTTCATGAGTGGCGGTAGCCACGAGTGAAATATGATAATTTTCATGCCACAAGATGAAAATAAATCATGTATTTATAGAAAAATCTTGAATTTTCTGTTTATTATATACATTTTTCTCCTTTTTGCGATAAAATTTGAAAGACTTTTCCTTAAATTTTGTGTATTTGCTGTATTTAGAAGAAAGTAGTTCGGCAAGACACCAGTAAAAATACGGAAAATATGTTTCACTCACTGTAGTGAAAATTAATTTTTTACAGTGAAAATACGGAAAATAAAATACGCATTTTATTTTATCAATTTTTCTCAATTATCATTTATAAATATATAATAAATATTAATCCATATATATGTTTAATTATTTTATTATTTAGGTTTTAGATTCTGAAGTCGCGTCGCGATACGGGAAGAAACGGGATTTATATACCTAAAATACGTCATAGCGCGCGGTTATTTAGATCAACAGAGAACCGAACATATCCGACCACAGAAATATATGTTTGTTTGTAAATAACATATTTTAGAGGTGAGAGAGAGGACAATATCATTGTTTTAGTAAGTTAATTATATATATTTATATGATCATCCACATGAATGCATTTACATTTTGAAAATTATTGGTGTCTCAAGTGATAATTCTTTCCTTTTTATGAGGCATTTGTGCAACATTGAGTAACCACAGGAGTTTGAAACTGTACTGTACGCTGAATAGAATCTTAGTCTCTTCACTAACAAAGTAACGATACCAGCAATTAACATGCTTTACATCTTTAACTTCTGTAATATCTGATATACTTTTTATCTAGATGTAAATTACTTTACAAATTACAGCAGGCAATCAAATATATTATAAATTTATTAATCTCAAACGCCTACTGGTTGGGGACCACCAAAACCGGACAACCACCAAACCCGGACGGCCCCGAAAATGCTTAATTTAGTATTTTCTTTGTTCAGTGGTTGTCAGTCACTTTTTTATCAACAAAAAGTGCATGTTTATTTTAAAATTAAGTAAATTAATTTATTTCAACCTCCGTAAATAGTAATATTTTAATGTCTATTTCAAGAATGTTGACGTTGAAATATGGGGGTCAAGAAAGCAATGCCTGACCTCATATACCAGCTATAATCATTTGCAGAGTGAATAATAGAATATCAAAAACTTCAGCATTTGTTGCTGAAATATTGTATATCATGTTAAAAATCTAAAATCAAAACACCCCAGCTTTTATCTGAATTAAATCATGTGATGTACATATGTGTCCGGACACATGGTACTGTAGTGTAGACAATCTAGGTAATTTTGATACCCTCCTTGTCGAGCCTCAGATATAAGTGTCAATACAATCGGAAATAAACAAACTAGTTTGTTAGTTAGGAGAAGAACCTAGCTGAACTGTGTCAAATTTTAAGGTTTCTAGGTTAAAAATTATGAAATCTGTACGGAAAAATGTTCAAAAAGTGTCCGGTTGATGGTCCCCGACCAGTATGGTCTGATTTGGTGGTCCATTTGGTAAAGGGTCAACTCGGCCCTATACCAACTCGGTACAGGTCAGCTCGGCACGGGTCAACTCGGCCCTCTTTTAAAAACTTGTATTAGGATATAGATTGTTTAGATTGTTTAGTTAATATAACATTTAAGGAGAAAATTATTGTAAAAGTATTCAAAAGTACGAACAAAATTTACAAATAGAAATTGAAAAGGGTGACAGTGTACATGTATTCATGTAAGTATTGTTTGAAATTATCTTTGTTAAGAAGATACAATATACATGTATGTTAAATATTGATCCATAAATAAAGTTTCTTGGATTGAATTTTTATGACAATAAATGTTATTGTGTTTAACACTTTTTGAGTGTTTGTTCTTTTCATACGACCAATACTGTTTTAACGATATTTTTTTTTACTAAAAGCATCTGAAATATAAATTGTAAAGTCTTCCTTTCTCTACAACTCGCATACAAATTGGTACTTTGTTCAAAAAAAACTTTTCAATATCCTTGAGTAGATGTCTATTACTGTGAAAATGTTAAACAATGAATGTTATGATGAAAACATTTAAAAAGTAATCATTACCAGTAATATATAAATATGGGCCGAGTTGACCCGTGCCAAGTTGGAATAGGGCCGAGCTGACTCGGGGGCCGAGTAAGTTTTAGGGCCGAGCTGACCCCGATTCATCCATTTACAGGCGCAGATTCTGGTTTTTTAGATGAAGGAAGGGGAGCGGAGATAGATAAATTTTTCATCCAAATGCTCATTATTATAATAATATATTTATATTGACAGTGATCCAGTTTTGGTACCGGACTCATTCAATCTTGTTTTTCTAGATAACTGGCAATTCATAAGAAAATGAGCTGCCAACAAATGGTTGGACACACATTGCTGATTTGCATTATATTAGATCTATCATCTCAAAAGTATTTCAATGAAAACAGCATTGGAGAAACCGGAACTTGTCCTGTACTGGAATCCCTTACTACCCACTCCTGATCCTTTCCTCCTAAGACCTTGGTGATGAGCAGAAACAATGCACATGTGGATCCAGGGTCTTTTTATCAGAGTGATAGATAAATGTTGATGAGATGTTTGTAGCACGTAAATTTTAAAGGTGATTGACATTAGTCCGGGGAGTCATGAATCTAAATTTTGCATAATTTCTGCTAAAAACGTGTGTTGAAATACAAAAAAAACTTGGACAAGTTCCACATACACGTACAAATGACTTTTTAAAATTATAAAAAGATATATAAACTGCTGATATCTTTGACACTTTGACATTTTTGAGTTATTATAATATTTGCAAGTTATAAATATTGATAATCTAGGTCCTATGCCACTATGTAAATTTAAGAAACCATTAGCTTGCTGATTTCCATGAGAAGTGTCCCAGAAAGTAGTCTAGAAATTGACATGTACATTAAGTCTTATTATAATAATAAATCTTCCAAGTGTGCATGTATAAATGGGCTCATATGTATGTCAATTTTAGTATGTTCATGCTGAAATTTTCAATAAATACAGAAGAGACATGGTATGATATTCCATTTATTAAATTTCATATGAAACACAAATTTAATTCACATGCCCAACAAATGTGATAGTGTTTAATAAGCGAATGTTGCAACATTAATAAACCTTTGAAAATTTTTCTAATTTCATATGCCCACCCTGACTGTTGATTACAACCTGGCAGCATTGTGGCACGGATGTGACACCATTGTTTTCCTAATATTTGGGTAGATTTATTTACTATTGGACAATTTTCACATATTCCTAGGCGATGGCCTGCAGTAAACCTTTTTAATTTCACCCTGTAAAGCTGCTGTTACATTTGATTCTAGTGATTTTGGTGATATTTCATAACGTTGATGTTGTTTATAAATGTTCAGAAAGATTGTTGGCATTCTGGATGTGTGCTGGTAAGACATCCTGTAAAAACTGCAGTTATATGATATGTTGTTCTTTAGACATTGATAAAACCTTAGTTTAAAGCTCATCTATAATATTGGTTATGATCAATACTGACATTACCTTTAATGAACACATTTTCAGTGACAACTGTCTTCCTAAACTTCCCTGTAGAGTGCAAGTGACCAAAGCCAAGTAACGTGTCCAAACTTCTTAAGAGAAATATCTACACCAAAATTAAATGCACAAAGATAAATCAACTTTCATTTATATGCCACATCTCTCAATTGTATTTATAGAAAATTCCAGCATGATAGGGTCAATATTGACTCACATTATAAATAAGATATTTATATAATTATGTATTAAGATTTGCTAAATGTAATATGGTACATATAATTAAAGGTATTGAACTATTGATATTATTACATGTGTATGTATTGTCAACACCACATTATAAATGTATGCATCAATTGAAAAGTATAAATACAACATAATCCCTTTCCTAACCTGTGAAAAAAATCCCAGTTATCAAATGGCACATACATGTATATTTTAAATAAAAAATTTGATGTTTTGAAAGAAAATAATTTTGCCTTTAATAATGAATTATATAATACCTGTTATTATTTATTTATTTCAGACTTACATTGCTGGCTGTAAGTGAGAACATTTTTGCCTTGAAATAGCAAACCACCGTCACTGATTATTTATACTAGTGACCAATAGATTTATGGATTCCACCATGGTAGAACCTCCAAATAAAAAGGTCAAGGTTGTCAATAGTGAAGAAGTTTTAGTTGACAGGTAAACAGCATCTATAACTATGAAGTTATATACATGTATTACTCTGTCTTATTTACAGCTAATGGTTCTCTCGAGGACAAATATACTTATCTATATTTCAGACATAATTCCTTAACTTACTAAAAGGCATTTAAATGTACTTATAATCTCTCTCTCTTTCAAAAATATAAAATGGTCATTTATAATTTTTAGGGCTGTCATTGATGGAAAAATTTGTATCAATATATTGAGAGGCAAATATCGACGATATATCAATGTATCAACTTTGGCAGTAGAAACAATAAAAAACATTTAAATATATGTTATATATTCGGATCATGGTATTATCCATGCTTTATAGGGCAAATAACAAATACTACAAGCCTACAGAAAGTTTGATTCTTTCTGTTATTTTTGTCACTGAAATTTGAAAATGGAGTTTTAAGTTCAAGTCAGCCAAGAAAACTGGGAAAAAAGTGATTTATTAGGCTAAAAAGAGTGACCGTGTATTCACGAACAGAAATAAATAAATTTTAGATTGTATTGAAAGTGTGTATTGATATTGTATTGGATGATGAGTATCGATGATACATCAATATTGCGATATTCAATGACAGCCCTAATTATTTTAACATGTATGCCCGACTGTTACCTCAATAGATGCTATCGTACATGTATATCTTGAAACAACTTTTTCAACATGGATTACTATTTCAGATTTTGTGATTGTTGCGAACTATTTCAGATTTTGTGATCAGGACATACTATTTCAGATTTTGTAGATTCTATCCTGAATATACTTTTTCAGATTTTGTGATCATAATTATACTATTTCAGATTTTGTGATCCTCAGAAGCCACAAGTAGTAACATTTCAGGATGTGAGCGCTGCAGCATACAAGATTAAAGGTGGAATACAGAAAACACCATGTCTAGTAGGTGATATAAACTTGTTCAAACATTTTTCTTGTAAAATGAGATTTAATTATTGTGATAGTGGATAGAATGTACTGTTTAGAGTCATGTTATCATGCACATCTTTTTTACTGTTTGTTATTTATATTAAGTCAAGAAATCTGCCAAATATTTGATAAAAATTCTGTATAAATTGTTCGATTTATTCACAAAATGAAAGCTTAATTATTGCTTGACTAGAGTTTAGCAAGTAGTTTATCATAATATGTTGTTATTGTTAGAAATCACAGATGTCCAGTACATTTGATATGAAGATATATTTCAAGAAAGAATTCTTACAATATACAGGAAGGTAAGAGTGTTTGATGCTGAACTCATGCCTGTTTTATGTTGTTCTTATACATAAGTATGCGTAACTTGAAAAATTAATGAATACAGTTTTAGCTCAACTTCAGTAAAATACTTGCCAAAGACATTACCACAGGAACTTGAAATTCTATTAAATAACCAATAATAACAATATCAAAAAAATAAATAATCCCTATATTATAGTATAAATAAACACTGAAAGATTTAGAATTAGATAGAATTTAAAGTTTCTGTGCCATGATGTTATTTACTGTTCAGTATCTGAAATGGTTTAACATTAAGAAGAATGAAATTTAGAAATAAGTGGTATCTGACAGTTTGATCAGTTTATTACAGGGGAGTCTGTTTTAAGGGGTTTAATTCTTATATGTGTCAATTTTGATGTATTCAACATGTAAAACAAATGTCTCACTTTGTTAACTTGACTTACAGGTGTGTTACATGTTTTAAGTTATGTATAATTGTGTAAATATTTTAACTTGTAGCTTTAAAGAAAGAGGAGCAAGGTACACTCTGTTAATGCTAACACAGGTAAGGAAATCTTGATATCTGATTAAATTGCCATACTATGTCAAATTATTTTCTTTAGACTTTAATTGTTAATATTTTTTCTAGTTCAATAGTAAATATTGATAAAGTAGGAAGTTTTATAAGAATATTGCACTTTAGTATATAAACACTGTTAAATTACTTACATGTATTAATGAGTAAATAAGCTAACTGATTCAGTGTTTAACCCATTACTTCATATACACGCCTTTTAACGCCTTTTTCACCCCCCCCCCCCTTTTTGTTGTCTCAAATGATGAAAAAATGCCTTATTTAGGCCCCAAACACTTGTTTTTGTTTGAGAAATGTTGTTAAAAAAAGTGACCTCTTTTTCGGCGCGGCCCCCCAACCAAAAGATACATCAGGGGGTTGCCAGAAGGGGGATGTGCCCCCTTCTGTTTGGGGGGTTTGAAGGGGGGCGGAGTCCCCCTCATCGCCAAGAAAATTTTGGACTTGTGAGAGGCTGTAAATGACCCCAGATTGATCATAAGGTAACGTGTAACCAACGCTGAAAAGCATTTGACTCTATCTCAATCCATTGAGAAGTTGCAGCACTTTGAAATCAATTTTGATGGAAAAAATCAACGCAAAATAGTGATTTTTGGCAATTTTGAGATGTCCCCTCGTTGCCATGGTAACAGAAAATTTAAGCCTGAGCATGTTGTTGCAAGGGCAATGGTCCAGTCAACATTTGTGCCAAGTTTGATTAGTGTTGAAGCAGTTTTTATAGTATTATAGCAATTTGAACTTGTAACGGGAGACTTTTCAATGAAAACAGCCATTTTTCACAAAATGCTCATGAAGCAATGGGTTAATGAAAAAAATAAAAAAATCTACAAAACAACAATTTTTCTTCAAATTTATATGACAGGCCATGTTTAAACATGAAAAAACGCGATTTAGGGTAATTTCAAGTATTTTCATCATTTTCTGTTAACCCATTACTTCATATACACGCCTTTTAACGCCTTTTTCCCCCCCCCCCCTTTTTGTTGTCTCAAATGATGAAAAAATGCCTTATTTAGGCCCCAAACACTTGTTTTTGTTTGAGAAATGTTGTTAAAAAAAGTGACCTCTTTTTCGGCGCGGCCCCCCAACCAAAAGATACATCAGGGGGTTGCCAGAAGGGGGATGTGCCCCCTTCTGTTTGGGGGGTTTGAAGGGGGGCGGAGTCCCCCTCATCGCCAAGAAAATTTTGGACTTGTGAGAGGCTGTAAATGACCCCAGATTGATCATAAGGTAACGTGTAACCAACGCTGAAAAGCATTTGACTCTATCTCAATCCATTGAGAAGTTGCAGCACTTTGAAATCAATTTTGATGGAAAAAATCAACGCAAAATAGTGATTTTTGGCAATTTTGAGATGTCCCCTCGTTGCCATGGTAACAGAAAATTTAAGACTGAGCATGTTGTTGCAAGGGCAATGGTCCAGTCAACATTTGTGCCAAGTTTGATTAGTGTTGAAGCAGTTTTTATAGTATTATAGCAATTTGAACTTGTAACGGGAGACTTTTCAATGAAAACAGCCATTTTTCACAAAATGCTCATGAAGCAATGGGTTAAGATATGGTAGGTTTAAAATTTACCATCATGAATCTATGCTAAAAATTGTATGCTTAATCACTTGACATTAATATCTAGATTCACCTGTCACACAAAATATATTTTAATTTATTATTACAACAGTAAAATGGAAGTGAAAATCTTCGAAATTTTTTGTGTGTGTGAGGGTGGGGGAGGGGGTTATATGCAAACCTATCTCAGTATAAGCGCATGTATTATATCACAAATGTTAATCTATGGCTTGTACCATCACTTTCCTGTAAACAACTTCAGTTTCAGGGACAGACATTGATTGTCTTTGTATTTTCAAGTTTGTTATACAAGAAGTATATATTACGTTATATATTACGTTATATATTATGTTATATATATTATGTTATATATTATGTTATATATTATGTTATATATATTATGTTATATATTATGTTATATATTATGTTATATATATTATGTTATATATTATGTTATATATTATTTTATATATTATGTTATATATTATGTTTATATATTACGTTATATATTATGTTATATAGGAACAGAAGAAAGCTGGTGTTATAGCAGCTAGTGCTGGGAACCATGCTCTAGCTTTATCTTATCATGGTCAGGATCTTGGTATACCGGTTACCGTGGTGATGCCAGTTATAGCTCCACTCATGAAAATACAAAACTGTAGGAAGTATGGAGCAACAGTTCATATTAAAGGTGCCAATTTAAGTGAGGTTAGTACATGGTTTAGCTTTAATGTTGTACTAGATATGTGTCCTGTATAAAATACTTAACATGTTTTCCAAAACATATGTTACTTTAATGTAAGACCAAGATTCATATCTGATAAAAATAAATCAAATTAATGGAAAGTAATAAAGACAACATGTCACATCATAAGTGTATAATCAATTTATCGTGTTTTTTTCACAATAGATGTGAACTTGTCAATGTAACATCTTAGTAAGCATATATTGAGCCAGTATTTATGGGGGTCAATTGCTTTTATATGTAAACAAATTAGAAACCATTTTTAGCTCGGCATTTTAAACAAAAATTTCTAGCTGTTGCTACTGTCAGGTTGTTGTTGCTGTCCAGAAACTTTAATGCTGGCCATTATTTTTTTAGCTCACCTGTCACAAAGTGACAGGGTGAGCTTTTGTGATCGCTTTTCATCCGGCGTCAGTCCGTCTGTCCGTAAACTTTTACTTTAAATGATATCTACTCATAAACCACTAAGCCAATTTCATCCAAAGTTCACAGGAATGTTCCTTTGGTGGTCACCTTTAAAAATTGTTCAAAGAATTTTATTCCATGCAGAACTCTGGTTGCCATGGCAACCGAAATGCATATAGTAAAAACATAAAAAATCTTCTTTTAAAGAACCTAAAGAGCTAGCGCTAAGATATTTAGCATGAAACATCTTCCTTCTAATGAGTGTCTACCAAGTTTGTTCAAATAAAAGCCCTGGGGTCAAAATTGGCCCTGCCCAAGGGGGTCATTGATTTTCCTTATATGTGTATAGCAAAAACTTAAAAATCTTCTTTGAAAAAACCCAAATAACTAGAATTAAGATATTAAGCATGAAACATCTTCTAGTAAGTGTCTACAAAGTTTGTTCAAATAAAAGCCCTGCAGTCAAAACTGGCCCCGCCCCATGGGTGTCATTGTTTTTAACTATATGTACACGTATAGTAAAAACTTAAAAATCTTCTTTTAAAAAACCCAATGAGCTAGAGCTTAGATGTTTAGCATGAAACATCTCCTTATGGGTGTCTACCAAATTTGTTTAAATAAAAGCCCTTGGGTTAAAATTGGCCCTGCCGGGGGTGGGGGCGTTATTGTTTTTCATTATATAAACATAATGACTTTAATGTTAAATAAAACTTTAAAATCTCTAGTTTAAATACATGTATGTGTGTTGATATTTAAAATCGTGTGATGTATGTAAAACATACAAGACACTGAAATGGTATCAGATATTTTGGATCACCCTGTATGTGTAGTAAAAACTTAACATCATGAAACATCTTCTAATGGGTGTCTTCAAAGTTTGTCAAAATAAAAGCCCTGGGGTTTAAACTGGCCCCGCCCCAGGGGGGGGGGGTTGGGGGGCTATATACAGGTGAGCGACCTCTTCATCATTCATATTCAAATGTTTAGCAAATACAAGAGATAAATAGAACATACGATATTTTGTTTCAGAGAGTCAAGATTGCTTATTTTTATTGTTCTTTGAAATGATAAAACAAAATAAAATAATTAAAGCCAGTTTTAAAGGGAGACACAGGAAAATTTTTCATTTCTTCATCTTGAATTTTTCATTCAATTATTCTGTAAATGTCCTCAAAATGAATACACTCTGAGGCAGTCGCAGGAACAAAACTTAATAAACTGTTGGTTTCCTAACTTGACCCAAGTGGGTCAGGTTAGAGCGTAAGATTTCACAATAGTTGTCACAGTGAACTTTGGAAATGTTAAAGAACATGTCAAATGAATGACTTAGACTTGTTTCAATCATACAATATCCACAATATCTGTTATTGTAACTTCCAGGGTTTGTTAAATTCACTTGACTTGTTTTAAAACTACTCGTTGATTCTGTCGGTGTCTAAATGTCGTCCCAACTTGTATTGATTAATTTATGCTTCAAAACAAAAATATATAGAATTTATACAGAAATTCATGCTGGGTCATTTTAGCGTGATTTCAGTACATAAAATCATTTTAATATTTTTTTACATTTATTTGCCTGAGTATCCCTTTGAATGTAACAGATTGAACACTTTTTAGCTCAAGTACTCAAAGAAAAGTGAGCTATTGTACTCACTTTGGCACTTTTGTAAGTGTCTGTGTAACATCTTAGTTAAAGTTTTACCTGCAATCACTGGTATAACTACACTACAAAGCTCTTGTTTTAATGATATCAACTTGATGTGCACATAAACTCATTTGGAAATGTTATTTCAGTCACGTATACATGCAATGAAGATGGGTCAAGAAGAAAAGTTACTTTACATAAATGGGTAGGTGAGACCTTCTACACATTGCAGTTTACAGATTATAATTCAGCATGTTGTTTTAATGGAATATTTTAGACTAGATCTTACATTATATAGGAGAAAGCCATTGTTGTTTAGAGGTATGTTAAGCCTGTGTCAGAATTGCCGTTTAACTGGTTCCCTACTGCTTGTAAAACTGGAAAAGTGAAATATTGTATAAACTAAGTGTAAATACGTGTGTACATCAGCTTTATTGATTCTTTTAAAAGGGCAATAATATATTTTGCTTACATTTGATTTAGTTTGTGAGGTATAAAGCAAATGAGTAAGATATAACTTGAACCCAGTAACTAGACACTGAAGTAAATACATTAAAGGATCCGGCTGATGACTTGTGTTAAAACTGTATTACTAGAAAAGATTTACGCATTTTAAGTTAGCGAGGCATGATTCCACGAATCTTTATAGCCGCGAATATGTCACTTGTAACAAATCCGCAAACATTTCTAGCTTCAACCAAATAAAAACATAAACATGCAGAATATCTATTATAATCTACTTACACAAAAAACATATAAACACAGGTGCTGTAGAAATGTGTAAAGAATTATGTAGTATTATTTATTTATTTATTAAAGTCTCATCAATATACATTCATACAAGTTACAATCAATATATATATACATAATAAAAAGTATATTGCCACTCCATAGTGGAGTTATAAGAGACTGGGTCATATTATGTTACAAACATCATATACATATTACATGAAATCATTTGAAAGGAACACAACAATAATGTATGTTTGTTATAGATACCTGTTTGGACCCTGAAAAGAAATTGTCAATTATTAGTAATTATCATGCTTTTGAAGTTATTCGCTAGCCACGGCGTATACAAAAGCATTTACAGTTTGCATACATTGAATGACTTGGATTTTGTTTGCTTGGTGTAGGTGTAATCCTTTGTTAAAAGTACAATAGCGATCAAGTGCTACATTGATAAGCAGCTGTTATGTTGTTATAATGAAAGCAATGTACGTAAAAAAAATACATATCAACATCTTGAAGATAGAGTCAGTTATGATTCATATGAGAATAAAAGAGGCTACCAGTTGGGAAAACAGATTTTAATATTAAAGTTAATATTAAGGAAATTTCGTTTAAACTGGTTTTTAAGCATCAAATAAAAAGAAAATTTGTTTGTTTGTTGTGTAATATGTACTTTTATTTCATCTCGTAAACTTAAAAACCAGTATTCTCAATTGTGGCTACGCCACTCGTGAGAATACTGTTTTTTAAAGCCCACTCGATGAAATAAAAATTCATCTTACACACAAACAAACAAATATCCTATATGTAATGATCTAAGTATATACATACCATTCCTTTAGTGTTTCAAATTTTCCTTTCTAAATGTATGCTAATGATACTTTAAAAATGTGTCTTCATTAGATCATCCATTCAATGAGTCATGTTAATCATAATAAAATTGTTCTTGTTTTTAGCTCACCTGTCACAAAGTGACAGGGTGAGATTTTGTGATCGCTCTTCGTCCGGCGTCCGTCCGTTGTCCGTCCGTCCGGCGTCCGTCCGTAAACTTTTACTTTAAATGACATCTCCTCATTAACCACTAAGCCAATTTCATCCAAACTTCACAGGAATGTTCCTTTGGTGGTCACCTTTAAAAATTGTTCAAAGAATTTAATTCCATGCAGAACTCTGGTTGCCATGGCAACCGAAAGAAAAAACTTTAAATATTTTCTTTTAAAAAACCATAAGAGCTAGAGCTTAGATATTTGGCATGAAACATCTTCTAGTGAGTGTCTACCAAGTTTGTTCAAATAAAAGCCCTGGGGTCAAAATTGGCCCCGCCCCGGGGGGTCATTGATTTTCCCTATATGCATATAGTAAAAACTTAAAAAATCTTCTTTTAAAGAACCCAAAGAGCTAGAGCTAAGATATTTAGCATAAAACATGTTCTAATGGGTGTCTACCAAGTTTGTTCAAATAAAAGCCCTGGGGTCAAAATTGGCCCCGCCCCGGGGGTCATTGATTTTCCCTATATGCATATAGTAAAAACTTAAAAAATCTTCTTTTAAAGAACTCAAAGAGCTATGGCTAAGATATTGAGCATCAAACATGTTCTAATAGGTGTCTACCAAGTTTGTTCAAATTAAAGCCCTGGGGTCAAAATTGGCCCCGCCCCAGGGGGTCATTGATTTTCTTAATATGCATATAGTAAAAACTTAGAAAATCTTCTTTTAAAGAACCAAAAGAGTTAGAGCTAAGATATTTAGCATGAAACATATTCTAATAAGTGTCTACCAAGTTTGTTCAAATAAAAGCCCTGGGGTCAAAATTGGCCCCGCCCCGGGGGGTCAATGATTTTCCCTATATGCATATAGTAAAAACTTAGAAAATCTTCTTATAAAGAACCAAAAGAGTTAGAACTAAGATATTTAGCATGAAACATGTTCTAATAAGTGTCTACCAAGTTTGTTCAAATAAAAGCCCTGGGGTCAAAATTGGCCCAGCCCCGGGGGTTCATTGATTTTCCCTATATGCATATAGTAAAAACTTAAAAAGTCTTCTTTTAAAGAACTCAAAGAGCTATGGCTAAGATATTAAGCATAAAACATGTTCTAATAGGTATCTACCAAGTTTATTCAAATAAAAGCCCTGGGGTCAAAATTGTCCCCGCCCCGGGGGTCATTGATTTTCCTTATATGTGTATAGCAAAAACTTAAAAAATCTTCTTTGAAAAAACCCAAATAGCTAGAGTTAAGATATTAAGTATGAAACATCTTTTAGTGTGTGTCTACAAAGTTTGTTCAAATAAAAGATCTGGGGTCAAAATTGGCCCCGCCCCGGGGGTCATTGATTTTCTTTATATGTGTATAGCAAAAACTTAAAATCTTCTTTGAAAAAACCCTAGAGTTTAGATATTAAGCATGAAACATCTTCTAGTAAGTGTCTACAAAGTTTGTTCAAATAAAAGCCCTGGGGTCAAAACTGGCCCGGCCCCAGGGGTGTCATTGTTTTTAACTATATGTGTATAGTAAAAACTTTAAAACAAATCTTCTTTTAAAAAGCCCAATGAGCTAGAGCTTAGATGTTTAGCATGAAACATCTTCTTATGGGTGTCTACCAAGTTTGTGCAAATAAAAGCCGTTGGGTTAAATTGGCCCTGCAACGTTGGGGGGGGGGGGGGGGTTGGGGGAGTCTATATACAGGTGAGCGACCTCAGGGCCATCATGGCCCTCTTGTTTTATATATCAACTGTCACAAAGATTTACATTATGAGAATATTTAGCTGAAAAAATCTCCTGTTTTAACTGTTGAGATGGGTTTAAACATATTATTTTATGCTTGATTTCAAAATAAAATCTTCCAACTTATATTAATCACTTTTGAGTCTGATTCCTGCAACCAATCAGTACTGGTGTCATATGAAGAAATCTGGTTGTGACCACGATTTGGGCTCGAAACCCAGGATTCCTGGGTTGAAAGGCAGACACCTTAACCACTAGGCTTCCGCTATTCCTGATGAGATTAAATTTGTAAAGATTTTTTATATGAATATGTTGATCAGGAAGGTATATTACTGGTATATATATGAACATATTTTGATCTATTTATAGATATGATCATCCACACATATTAGCTGGACAGGGAACTATGGGACTAGAAATCGTAGAACAAGTACCTGATCTAGATGCTTGCATTATACCCGTCGGGGGAGGAGGATTAATTGCTGGAGCAGCACTTGCAATAAAAAATCTTAGACCTAATGTTGCTATCTATGTAAGATCTTAACAACTTACTATAATTTTGTTACAGGGTAAGAAAAATGTGCAGCCCGACCGGAACTCAAACTCCGGACCCTCAGAATACTCAGAATACCGTATCACGGCTGTACAGACTGAGTTATCCGGCCGCTTACACATCTTCTCCCTTATATACTGAACAGTTCTGAACTGTGACGATTTGTTTATACACATTATATTTTAAAAACTTGATTTTGTATTGGTTTTCTGTAGAAGGAAACTATTGGGTATTTTCTGTTTACATAGGAAAATTATTAAGAAAATTATTTGCATATTATTTCATTAATTAAGTTTGTCACTTGGTAAGACAAACTTGCAGCTAAGTGGTAATTTGTATATAGGACACTTGTAATACCATTCCAAAACTCCTGTACTGTGACAAGATTTTATGAGAAAAAAATAATTTTAAAGTTACTGTAGATTGAAGTGTGTGATATAAATAATGAATTAATGATCCATTCTGTTATAATATTTCAGGGTGTGGAGTCAGAGAAGTGTCCAAGTTTTACACGAGCTATGGAAGCAAATAAACCTGTATATACAGAAACACATTCAACTCTAGCTGATGGTAAGATATAGTGGTGGCTTATTGTTGATTAACTTTACACACAAAAAAATGTATCTTAAACTATATCTTTTATTTTATCATTAATGTCACATACTTAAACTGCAAATTGCCTGGGATTTAATTGAAGATTTATTTGACTTTTTTTCTTCAAAAATTTAATAGTTTCTACAATTAAATGTGTTTAAATATGAAATTGAATATAGCGGGAGGGATATGTACATTAGGGATTTATAAACACAACTATTAATAATAATTGGTGAAATTTTTTATCTGTAAAATGTCCAGAAAGGAAACATAGTTTAAAATGTGATGATAAGGTTTATAGATCTTACATTGACAAATATTTAAATGTGAGTTTATAAACTAGAAGATAATATCATCAGGTATTGTATAATATTTTATATAATATATAGGTCATACAGGAAACTAAAATAAATTTGGCACAGGTTATCTTTCTGATCTTGTAATATTGGTGACCAGTTTAACATAGTCATTAAACAAACCAGAAAGAGTCCATTTAGTACAAAACTGTCTTGTAGGTCAAATAGTTATATATATTTATAAAGAAATATTTAAAAAGCTTAAATTTTCTTTGATTTACAAATGAACATCATAATGATTGAAGATAAAATTATCAAATGTAAATGTATCTTAAAATAATATCACATGTATATCAGCTTCCACTGCTGTAACATGTATTTATACTATTGTAAACCTATTAAACCTATTAACCAGCTGAAACTGACAGAGATTACTTTTTGCCACCAGTAAAGAGCCAGACCAGCCAGTACATTCATACAGTCTAACCTGGCTGTATACTAATAGCTGACTAACTTTTAATTTTCATTTACATATCCCTAAATTGATAATGAACAGTTCCAAATAATGGAAGCTAGACAAGTCCATTTAAGAAATTCAGTAGGGTAATGATTAAGATAAATTGTTAATTACAACAAATTTTTTAACTTGACTTAACTACTTATGTGTAAAAACAACATGGAATCATTATGTATCTTTTTGAATGGGGGGACATAGCAGAATAATGTGCTGTGGTTATATTTAGAAGCACAACATAACATCTAATTGATTTAGTATCATTTGACCTACATTAACACCAGATGGCAAGTTTCCTAGGTAGTTATATACTAAATGTCCTGGCTGACCTGATGAAAGTACATTGAGATATATTATAACAGTTCACTGATGCCTAAAGCTTTTCAGTTAAGATAATTGAAACACTTTACTTTTATGATTTATTTTGCACATTAGGAACTATGATTTTGGAAAAGCAAAATGAAAGTTATTTGTATTGACATATATTAAATGGTTCACAAATCTTTATAAAATATTCCATTCCTGTTGTGTCTAAAATCATAAGTGGAATCACTTTGAATGATAAACTTGGGTTTTATTTATATAGATGTCAGGTTTTACAAGATAAGTCATTATTAAAATTTACGAATTAAAATTTATAGAAATATTGGCATAGAAAAAGTCTTGTTTTATAACTTTTAACAGCATATATCTTTGAAGATTCCATTACAGAAATGTGATGTAAAGAGACATTTTGTACCACTTGTTGTAGATTTATGTTTGTCTCCATTACATTCTACATGTAGTTTATATTATAATTTTAGGTCTTGCTGTACCTACTGTTGGTGTAAATGCATTTGCTACAGCTCATAGTTTGATAGATAAGATGATAGTAGTGAGGTATGTATACAACTATAAGTAACCATCATATCCTACAATAATAAAGCTTGAAGGTCAATATAAGAAAATAAAATTAGGAAAATAACAGTGTTAAAGTAATAGCTTAAACTTTTATTAATTTATTAAGATAATGCTTCATTATGGTATGAGCCCCTTCCTTTAGTTTCCTCTATATGATTTAGTCATGTTGGTTCATCATGGTTAAGTATTAATATGTAGAAGACACATTTAATTAAGGAACACTCAAACAATTAATATGATAGAAAAAGGGAAGCAACTGTTTAAACCTTACTGCTCTGTCAGTTGTAAGGGAATTAACTCCCTTGTGTAAAGATTTGCATTCATGATGGTTAGTTTAGAGTGAATTGTAAGTTGTAGGTTTTAAATCTTTATTGCTATGAATTTTGAATATAAAACTCATATTTCTGCTTAAGATGAATTTCTATATTTACCAGTAACAATAGGTAGACAAATCAAATAGCATGTTGAAATAAAATCTCTACTTGAAGTCAGAAACACCTTACTAAGTTCTCAATATTTTACAGTAAACAAATTTTAACATTTATGTATTTGAACAGGGAGGAGAATATTGCATTGTCAATATTACGTCTACTAGAATTAGAGAAAGCTGTTGTAGAGGGAGCTGGTGCTACTGGTCTCGCTGCTGTAGTAGAGGGACTTGTACCTGAACTACAGGGAAAAAAGTAATGTTACATACGGAATGACTAGAATTATACATAATGTTTCCTATTCTTAGAGAAAAAATTGCAATTCAAGGTTTTTTCAATCACATTTAGTTAAATATTAATTTTGATTAATTACTTCAATAAAGGTATGTAATTAATATATGTCCTTTACATGAAAAAGGTAGATTCTTTTACAGTTTTGATTACATAAAAATTTAAATATAATTATGTTTGTAATGCAGGCACAATATTTGAAGTACATTAATATCTCAAGGGTATTTATCTCTAATAACTAAGTTGTATGTATATATAGGAGTGACATTGATGGTCAGTTATTTACGGTTTATTTGTTGATCTGTACATATAGTATATTTATATTACAGAGTTGTGATAGCATTATGTGGAGGTAATATAGATACAACAGCTCTAGGTCGTGTTATAGAGAGAGGACTAGCTGTAGATGGTAGATTAGTACGGTTTGTTGTTCAAGTCAGTGACAGACCTGGTGGTATTGCTGAACTTACTAAACTCATGGCAGGACTTGGTGTCAGGTAAAGTATATACATATTTTAATATGTACAGTCATGTCGGGCCTTATTGTGTATGTTTCCACCATTTAGCATTTGTTTATTCTCAAAATGAAAGGCATTTCATATGTAAAAATCATGTTAATATAATAAAGGTCAAGGTCACAGCTTGGCTGAAGAGGGTTTTTAGTATGTGTGGAAAATGTCGGATAAAAATTGGTATGTCTCGTTGAAGATTTTAGTGAGATTTTTTTTTAGCTCACCTGTCAAAGTGACAGGGTGAGCTTTTGTGATCGATTTTCGTCCGGCAACCGTCTGCGTCCGTCAGTCGTCCGTAAACTTTTTCTTTAAATGACATCTCCTCATAAACCACTAAGCCAATTTCATCCAAACTTCACAGGAATGTCCCTTTGGTGGTCACCTTTAAAAATTGTTCAAAGAATTTAATTCCATGCAGAACTCTGGTTGCCATGGCAACCGAAAGAAAAAACTTTAAATATCTTCTTTTAAAAAACCATAAGAGCTAGAGCTTAGATATTTGGCATGAAACATCTTCTAGTGAGTGTCTACCAAGTTTGTTCAAATAAAAGCCCTGGGGTCAAAATTGGCCCCGCCCTGGGGGGGTCATTGATTTTCCCTTTATGCATATAGTAAAAAGTTAAAAAAATCTTCTTTTAAAGAACCCAAAGAGCTAGAGCTAAGATATTTAGCATGAAATATGTTCTAATGGGTGTCTATCAAGTTTGTTCAAATAAAAGCCCTGGGGTCAAAATTGGCACCGCCCCAGGGGGTCATTGATTTTCCCTATATGCATATAGTAAAAACTTAAAAAATCTTCTTTTAAAGAACAAAAAGAGTTAGAGCTAAGATATTTAGCATGAAACATGTTCTAATAAGTGTCTACCAAGTTTGTTCAAATAAAAGCCCTGGGGTCAAAATTGGCCCCGCCCCAGGGGGTCATTGATTTTCCCTATATGCATATAGTAAAAACTTAAAAAATCTTCTTTTAAAGAACTCAAAGAGCTATGGCTAAGATATTTAGCATCAAACATGTTCTAATAGGTGTCTACCAAGTTTGTTCAAATAAAAGCCCTGGGGTCAAAATTGGCACCGCCCAGGGGGTCATTGATTTTCCTTATATGTGTATTATAGCAAAAACTTAAAAAATCTTCTTTGAAAAAACCCAAATAGCTAGAGTTAAGATATTAAGCATGAAACATCTTTTAGTGAGTGTCTACAAAGTTTGTTTAAATAAAAGACCTGGGGTCAAAATTGGCCCCGCCCCGGGGGTCATTGATTTTCTTTATATGTGTATAGCAAAAACTTAAAATCTTCTTTGAAAAAACTCAAATAGCTAGAGTTTAGATATTAAGCATGAAACATCTTCTAGTAAGTGTCTACAAAGTTTGTTCAAATAAAAGCCCTGGGGTCAAAACTGGCCCAGCCCCAGGGGTGTCATTGTTTTTAACTATATGTGTATAGTAAAAACTTAAAAAAAATCTTCTTTTAAAAAACCCAATGAGCTAGAGTTTAGATGTTTAGCATGAAACATCTTCTTATGGGTGTCTACCAAGTTTGTGCAAATAAAAGCCCTTGGGTTAAATTGGCCCTGCAACATTTGGGGGGGGGGGGGGGGTTGGGGGGGCCTATATACAGGTGAGCGACCTCAGGGCCATCATGGCCCTCTTGTTTGTTACTGTGTACAGTGAGGTATGAACAATGAGATGTACTGGTGATAAAGTTACTTACTATTACAATTTAGAAAATAACATCCATTTTATATACTATAGATATATGAATAAAACTTTGGTATTTTAATGATAAAATATGACATATGATCATATATATTTATACATAATGGATGTAAGCTAACATATATTGTTACACTGTTTAAATCTTCCTTAATACTACAAGGATTCAATTATTCATGTATTGTATAGGAAAATACAGTTATGTATACTATTATTATAACAGTTTGTTTTTATTTTTTAGTATTAAAGATATTTTCCATGAGAGAGCATGGATAAAAACAGACATATTTTCTGTACAGGTAACACAAATCTTTCTTGTATTTTCTTTTATTTGAAGCTTTTCTTCACTTAGTTAAAACTTAGTAAAGTAAGTAAAATGGAATTCAGTTTATTTTACAGTAACTCAATAAATATGATAAAGATAAACACTTCATTGAAAGATGGCGATATTTATGAACAAAAGTGTATGAATTCCCCTAGACTTGACTCATTTTGTTCTAGAATTATCTGTTTGTCTTATTTGAAGTTACTTAATTTTGTGGTCAGGGGATGACTAATCCAGCTGTTCGTTATTGACACATAAAATAATATGATTAGATCAACAAAGCAAAGGACAATCTCTTCCATGTTACAATTACATTTTTTTTCTGTGAAAGGAAAATATTCTGTTGTTATTATTATAAACATAATAGCACACTGTTTAGGTTAGATAAAATTCTAAATTACAAAGATATATAAAAATGAAAAGTGATTTGATAAATCATTGTAAATGATTGAATTAATATATGGTATAGCACACTGCCTACAAGTTTACTTCACTAGGGTTAACTGTATAATGCAGGATAAGTGACATACATGTGACATGTGCAATATAATATTTATATCTTTACCAGATATATCCGTATATAAAATGGCCATGTATGTAAATGACATGATATTGATTTACCTCCCTTGATATATATTTCTTGTGACATGATACTAATTTACCTCCCTTGATATATATTTCAGGTGAAAGTTGTATGTGAGACCAGGGATGCTGAACATAGTGAGGAACTTCATCAAGCTATTAAATCTAAATACTCATCATATACTTGGGGCCCGAGAACCTAACTTACACTCTTGATATACCAAATAATCACTTTTGGTATTTATAACATTTGATTTTAATCAGTATTTTCTATATGTTAACATGCTATTTTGGTGATATATTCATGGTTACAGGACTGAAGCATTTGTGTTCCATCTTGACAACATGATTTATTTAAGGTTGTTGAATGTCATACAAGAGTTATGAATCAAAGTTTCATCATTTGTATGCTATAGTTAACTCTAGATGGGTTATATAAAGTTAACACAATCTCCAAGCTTTAACCTCGTTAATTGATTAATTTGATATATGTAGGTAAATAGATAGAGACTTGTAGAGAACAAATGGAGGTAATTGAAATATGAAACATTGGTTAATTTTGTCTACATAATTACTGATGTAACAGAAGAAGCAAAGTAAAGATTGATTTTGAGATTATTTGATTTTGTGTTTTATCATTGTGTTAGGCTACATTGAAAAAACAACATTGTTACTTGTTTGTTTAAGTCTCTATCTTATCATTAAGAAGTCCTATTTTGTTTTTGATAAGATATTTGGTTTGTTTATTGTTGATGAGGTGCTCAATTGCATTAACATTTGTTTTATTTTATTTTTTGACAGTCTTGTACTGTGTTTTAAATCCAGTAATTGCTTTTATGTCAGTTATTGGATGACTTACAATCTCTAAAATTTTAGTATTATATAGTTTTATTATAATGCTAGTGTTAGTCATTATTTTATACAGTTTTTTTCCTTCTTCTGAAGTGTGTGTTTTTGTTTATTCATTTGTCATGACATATTTACATTATATACATATACAATCTATGATTTGCATAAAAAATAGTTCACATTTTCCATGACATTAATTTGGAATGTTGCATAAAAATTGTTTTTCCATTTAGATACATGACATGATCATTTACGTTTATAATAACAAATTGAAATATTGACAATCAGTGGTGATTAATAACTGGGGTATTACAACAGTAGTGTCAGCTTGTTTACATATCTCTATATTCCGACATAAACTCTATTAACCTTTCACCTGCTGAATTTAGATAGTGGACAGGCCCTGATTTAGTTTGGAAAAAAATTTCAAAGTTTAAGAATTAACAAAATAGAAAATTGAGCTACCAACACAGCATTGTGAGATGGTATAAATGTGCGGGCTGGTCTGGATAAGACGACTCACTTCAGGTTCCAGCAGGTTACAGGTTAATTAATTGATTACAGTATTTTTTATTGGATTTATTGAAATGTCACAAAGTTAAAGAAAAGAAAGTCTACTGCCAATTGGACAGTGTAAATGTTAAACATATTGCCCTAGCTTTTTTTATAGAAAATAAGTCTGAAAATATGACAAATTATTTCCTAAGTCCCCTCCAACTAATAGATTGTTTATGTATTTTTTTCATTTTGATTCATATATTTCTTTTGTATCTTATTGAAAAGTATGTTACACAATTGTTACATTTCTTTAATTTTAATGAATTGTTTTAATTGATATTTTACTTGAATCTCAATTCATGTTGTACAAGAAAGGCATTTTTAGCTTGATTTTTTTTTAAGAAAAAAAGAGCTACTGCAACAATCGTGTTAACTGTTGTCGGTCGCTGCCATCTGAAATCTTTTAATATTTGTCATTAATTTTTTATTTCTCAATGGATTGCCTTCACAACAACCCTTTGGACAAGACCTTCAAGTTGACCAGACTGAACTTGACCTTCACTGGTAAATTACCTGAATCTTAAAGGTCAACTATTTTGATGCTATAATTGGCTATAATTTGGTTATTTATGAATGGGTTGTCTTTATACTTGGACACAACTATCCTTGGGACAAGATTTTTATGTAGACAAAATTGATTTTGACAGTCACTCATCATTGACCTGGACATTGAAGGTGAAATTATTGAATTGTGCTTATTTTTTGTTATAATTGGCTATAAATTGATATTTTTAAATGGATTGTATTCAAACTTGGACAAAACAGTCCTTAGGACAAGACCTTTATATAGACCCATGTTCAGTAAGGTTATGGTAATGATGATTTATATCTTTTAGAAATATTGAGAAAATTCCTTTTGTTTAAAGCTGCATGCCTCCAGATGAGCTAATAAGTTTCAAGAAAATCAGCCTTAAGAGGAATGTACTAAGATTTTGAGAAAAGCAAACATATTTAATTTAAGGTGATAATTGACATGTTACATGTAATGAATGACTGATTTTGCAGTACTTATCACCATATTTATACTATGTGACTAAGACAGTAAGGGCTTTATTAAACATTTATTTGGTAAGTTATGTGTATTTGAAGTGCCATTTGCAATGTTTTTGTTCAGTTGAAAATATTTTACATTTACAAAAAAATCAAATTTTTATTGAAAATCAGGATGAATGTGGAAGCATGCTGCTTTAAGAACACTAAAAATGTTTACATTTCAAGGAATAATTTACATGTTATTTGCAATTTTGCAGTACATGTATTTATCACCATTATTCTTCTGTATGACTAACATAGTTAGGGCTATTTTTGCATTTTTTAGCTCACCTGTCACAAAGTGACAGGGTGAGCTTTTGTGATCGCTTTTCGTCCGTCCGTAAACTTTTGCTTTAAATGACATCTCCTCATAAACCACTGAGCCAATTTCATCCAAACTTCACAGGAATGTTCCTTTGGTGGTCACCTTTAAAAATTGTTCAAAGAATTTAATTCCATGCAGAACTCTGGTTGCCATGGCAACCAAAAGAAAAAAACTTTAAATATCTTCTTTTAAAAAACCATAAGAGCTAGAGCTTAGATATTTGGCATGAAACATCTTCTAGTGAGTGTCTACCAAGTATGTTCAAATAAAAGCCCTGGGGTCAAAATTGGCCCTGCCCCTGGGGGTCATTGATTTTCCCTATATGCATATAGTAAAAACTTAAAAAATCTTCTTTTAAAGAACCGTAAGAGCTAGAGCTTAGATATTTGGCATGAAACATCTTCTAGCGAGTGTCTACCAAGTTTGTTCAAATAAAAGCCCTGGGGTCAAAATTGGCCCTGCCCCTGGGGGTCATTGATTTTCCCTATATGCATATAGTAAAAACTTAAAAAATCTTCTTTTAAAGAACCGTAAGAGCTAGAGCTTAGATATTTGGCATGAAACATCTTCTAGTGAATGTCTACCAAGTTTGTTCAAATAAAAGCCCTGGGGTCAAAATTGGCCCCGACCCAGGGGGTCATTGATTTTCCCTATATGCATATAGTAAAAACTTAAAAAATCTTCTTTTAAAGAACCCAAAGAGCTAGAGCTAAGATATTAAGCATGAAACATCTTCTAGTAAATGTCTACCAAGTTTGTTCAAATTAAAGCCCTGGGGTCAAAATTGGCCCCGCCCCGGGGGTCATTGATTTTCCCTATATGCATATAGTAAGAACTTAAAAAATCTTCTTTTAAAGAACCGTAAGAGCTAGAGCTTAGATATTTGGCATGAAACATCTTCTAGTGAATGTCTACCAAGTTTGTTCAAATAAAAGCCCTGGGGTCAAAATTGACCCCGCCCCAGGGGGTCATAGATTTTCCCTATATGCATATAGTAAAACTTAAAAAAATTTCTTTTAAAGAACCCAAAGAGCTAGAGCTTAAGATATTAAGCATGAAAACATCTTCTAGTGAGTGTCTACCAAGTTTGTTCAAATTAAAGCCCTGGGGTCAAAATTGGCCCCGCCCCCGGGGTCATTGATTTTCCCCATATGCATATGGTAAAAACTTAAAAAATCTTCTTTTAAAGAACCATAAGAGCTAGAGCTTAGATATTTGGCATGAAACATCTTCTAGTGAAATGTCTACCAAGTTTTTTCAAATAAAAGCCCTGGGGTCAAAATTGACCCTGCCCAGGGGGTCATAGATTTTCCCTATATGCATATAGTAAAAAACTTGAAAAATCTTCTTTTAAAGAACTCAAAGAGCTAGAAGCTAAGATATTTAGCATGAAACATGTTCTAATGGGGTGTCTACCAATATGTTCAAATAAAAGCCCCGGGGGTCAAAACTGGCCCCGCCCAGGGGGGGGTCATTGATTTTCCTTATATGTGTATAGCAAAAACTTAAAAATCTTCTTTGGGAAAAAACCCAAATAGCTAGAGTTTAGATACTTAAGCATAGAAACATCTTAAGTAATATCTACAAAAGTTTGTTTAAAATAAAACGCCGGGGGTCAAAACTGGCTCTGCCCCCAGGGTCGACATTGTTTTTTAACTCTATATGTGTTATAGTAAAACTTTTAAAAATCTTCTTTTAAAAAAAAGCCAATGAGCTAGAACTTAGATGCTTAGCATGAAACATCTTCTTATGGGTGTCTACCAAGTCTGTTCAAATAAACAAATAAAAGCCCTTGGGTATAAATTGGTCCGGGGGTGGGGGCCTATATACAGGTGAGCGACCTCAGGGCCATCATGGCCCTCTTGTTTATTTGATAATTTACATGGATTGATAGATCCTTACTCTTACCTTTTATTTGAATAAGAATAGATTTAACGTTAACAAATATTTTGTGAAGGTGACATTCTTATTGTAATCCACTAATCTGAAAATAAGAATAAGACAGCATTGAAAGTGTCCTTTGCAATGTGTTATTTACTTTCTTTGTTAACTGACAAGAATAACACATTTTAATACTTTTTCAAAATTTACATGAAATGAGCATGAATGTGGAGTCATGCTGCTATAAGGGAAGCTCTAGTCTTATTCTTATAATCATCATAATTTTCTGTTCCAGTATTATTATTTTTTTGCTGCATCATATTTATATATTTGATATTATCTGAATTTTTAATGAACATGTAACACTGCAAGTCAAGTTAGGTGATAGTCAAAGTTATTTGTCTCATTTACTGAGATGTGCTACAAACGTCTGTTTATATAACCACGTGTCACTAGCAACTACCTCCTAGTTGTTGTAATACAGTTCTATTCATCATACATCATAATTGATTTGTTTTTAAACATAAACCTATTTAAACCGGAAGTACTTAGCCTGTACCACCAGGATGTAGCCAGGGCATCCCTGCACTTCCGTACAATTTGGGCATTATACTGATGGTAGCTGGTTATTTTTATTTTGATGATATAATTCCATGAATTTTAAACTTGTTGCATGAAGGAACAACATTTTTGTGTTGTACATTCTACTTGTAAAATCAGATTATAATAAATACATTACAGAACAATCGTTTTTATTTGTTATAGTTGTATATATATAGCTACGTATGAAGTATTTTCATAGCTCACGCTGACATTATAAGTAAGTTGAATATGAAAGCAACCAGTTTATACTACGTGTTATGCACTATGAACCCTCCGTGATGACGTTGAAAAGCTAACTTAGTTCAAACGCCAGTAATCTATTTACGGTGTTACATACAACACTATCTTGTATAGTTTATTATCCTGTTTAATTAGTCTGAAGTTAAATATGTAATAAAATAAATATTGACAGACTGGTAACTTTCAAAATGACTCATGGTTGTGTTTATCATGACATTTTAATAACTGTTTCATCATTAATTTTGCATCGAAGTAAGTAAGTAACAGAATCGGATTGTACTATAACTCTCTAAATTATACTTTAACATATTTTAACTATTTCACTCAACACATGTTTTGATGGTATCAATTTTAAAGCTGCGTGCCTCCAGATGAGCCGAAATATTTCAAGAAAATTAAATTTTAGAAAAATGTGCTAAAATTTAAGAAAAGTAAAAATGTTCCAAGATCCAAGCAATGATTTACATGTTATGTGCAATTTAGGGCTGATTTTGCGGTATTTATCACCATATTTCTACTGCGTTACTAACGCAGTAAGGGCTAATTTTGGTAATTTATGTGAATTGCAAGAGCTGATTGTAATGAGTAAATTATTTTCTTAGTTCACTTCACAATATTTTACTTTTAAATGCATTTTTAATATTTTCATGAAAATTAGCATGGATCTGGAGGCATGCTGCTTTAAATACTATACTGATATTCCAATATAGAAAATAATTTATGGCCAATTAAAAGAAAAAGATGTTGACATAGGAACTTCTTAGCTTTTTAGTTTTGTATTTAGTTTGTATGAATATACAGTCCGCACGATAAGCTCAATATTGAGAGGGGCGCATTTGTAAACCAGGGCGCGCTGATGAGGCGAAATTTCTGAGCTTTCTGGATTACTGACTCTAGCACAATTAGTTTTAAGGAATGAATACCACTTTAGCCTGTGCTAGAAGGCGTGAGGGATGTTGCATGTATTCATTATCCCTCATGAACAGATTTAATCAAACAAACAGTCTACAATATCCATTTTCATTGCTTTTGAAGGGTCACCCACTTTTCCAGAATTTTTCTTTAACTTTAAATGGTCCCGCTAAAATACGAAATGGACCACTCTCTAAATGACTCAAGTATGACGTTAATGAAAGTTGAATGAAACTTGTAACTTAGAAGCTATCTTCTTACCAAACTAGTAGCGGTCAATAAAATTGGTAACTGACAACATTAGATTTATATATCCGACTATATTACGGGTAACACACATACTAAACAGCGGCTCTTACACATTTTGATGATCTGTTTAAAGGAGAGCACCACTTCCGTTATAGAGCCCTCGGATAAAACAAAGCTGATACAAGGTAAATACAGTTCTAAAAATAATCGATTCAAAAGAGCATGCTTGTCAAATTGTAATACATGTATATTAAACCTAAACTAAATTTGAATGGATTAAATAAAATAGACGTAAAAAAATAATGTTGATGAAATATTATGATCATTTTAATTTAATATTTAAATATTAAATAATAAAACTATCTGAGAAATTGAGAAATGCTGCAATAAGTCGATAAATAAGATTTTAGTACCATTTGCTATATTCAATCTTAGGGATTTTTTACGAATTTCTCAAGCTATATTTATACTCTGCACTCAATAAAACTCTGTAATTTATCTGTTTACACTCAAATATTTACCGTTAACAGATTTGAACTTAAACAATATCAAAATAGAAGACGATAAAATGTGAATAAGGAAGGACAATATTTAATAATTGTTAATAAAAATTGTAAATTAAAATGCAATGCTTAAAATAGCAGAAAAAATGAAACAACAATAAGATCATCGTAAACATGAAACAATAGTGCATAATTTGTATTATAAATGTATCATTACATATAAACATATTTTCAAATAAAACAAAACACAGACAAAGTGAAATCCTCAATTCTTTACTATAACTTAGTATTTGTGCTTAGAATCACTTCATGTAAACACACTCAAACTCTACCTCGTTTAGTAAATATCACGTAATATTAATTGATTGTCAAGCCATACAAATATGATATCAAATTAATAATTGATAAATAAAACAGTTATTAATATCAATTACTTAACGCGCTTAGTATTATTAGCGTTCCTATAAAAACGTCATAATCTTTTTACGGTTAACGTAAGTAAGTGGGAACGATTTTTTCAAACGTTAATGTAACATGAACTGTTTGGTCTGATTGATTAAACGAAATGAATTAAATGTACTAAACATTAAAAAATATTATCTCTTTATGAGTGTATATCTACTGTTCTATTTTTAACGTTTTTTTCCTGATTGTATAATTCAATTTTATGTTGATTGTTGATTTTTTTGTAAGTGGTCATTTGCTGAATAACTACAAATCTTGTATTTCAATTTATCATGCATTTTTATATGCCTATATCTAGATTTACATCGTGCACGGCCGCTATTATAATATATTGGTATTGAGTCTAGTTTTTCATTCTGTTTGTTATTTTTGAGATCATCTAGATTCCATGGCATTGTTTCTCAAAACAGAATGAAGATTCTTATTTCGTGATGCCGGATCAGCTTTTATTTTCATAATCAGGAGAGCAAATCATCTTGAAACTGGGTTTGTTTTTAATCTAAGGATATAAACGGTTCTACTCGCATAAATAACACGGAAGCCAGTATGATGTATTACTACACGGGATGTTAACTGGCAGTCAGTATGTTCAGACTTTAATCTTAGTTTTTGTGCACTTCATTCGCTAGGGTCACATTGCACTGGCATATTTTTGTTTTGACTTTTATGGGAAAGTGGCGCTTTATTTTTTTTTCGTATGTCTACTAAGATTGTACGTAGAATTAACCGAGATCAGATTGTCTACACTTCAGTGATAACCATAGAACAAATATTATATAGTTAGTGATTTTGCTCTTGTCTACATATTGATGTAGAGTGTCCACTGGCTGATACCAACTTCATGTTTGTAGAAGTGACAAGTTTTGTTATATGAAGTAAAGCTGGACTTTGAAATAATGTCAGAACATTTTGAGGAATTTCAGTTTCCAAATGCTTACACTGGACAATGTTTTGAGAACAATTTCCTACTTTCTGATAACGATTTTACAGACTTGAACCATACACCTATAGGTATTGGTAACCCGGGTCCGTTCCGTATGCCAAAGCGGCGTGGAAGACCTGTCGCGAATAATGCAGCTCGTGAGAGATCGCGTGTTAAAACTCTGAGATCAGCTTTTCTAGAACTTCAAAGGACATTACCAGCAGTGCCGCCGGATACGAAATTATCAAAATTAGATGTTCTAGTGTTAGCCACTACTTACATTGCCCACTTGATGAGCGCACTACAAGAAGATGGCGATGTATCTCAAATATTTGCTGCAAACGGCTGTATGCACCCTGTTAAGGTTAATATTAATATTTTTGCTTTTTCTTTTTGAATTTCTTAAAAAAAAACTATCATTTAATTAACCTGAAGATCTTGCTCAATATAGGAATAATCAGATAGTGGGAACCCTAGATTTTCGAAAAAAAAATTTACTCTAAATTATAAATGAGATATTCTAGCAAGAAACGAAAAATAATTTTGTATTGAAACAATATATAGTTGGATGTAATGAATGTAATGAATGATTAAATTATTTGTCGATTAGATTTATTTTGATTATCTATAGCGCTTTATCGGGTATGAAGTAACTTGAAGTAGCAAACTCGCGTGTAATGATAAAAATCAGAAAAGGGGTTTGATTGAGTCTGCTCTTCATGGGAGACCATATAAAGTACAACATCTCTCACGGTCCCTAGCACCGGGTTAAGCAGCTTTCAATCTTCATTCTTTCAATCTGCAGTCTGTCGCTTGAATCAGATTTTTTTTGTAATAAAATATACGTTAATAATTTATGTTTGTAATAAAAGAGGATTTTTTATGACATGTTATAAAATTCTATTATGATTTAATACGAAATTATTTGCAAACATCTTTTTTTTCTTTAAATTTTAGTAATATATTTGATTTTATTTTAAATCATTTTCTACTCCGTGTGCTTTTCCTTGGGCTAAACCCCATCTCAATTTTATTATTAATTTAATGCATACTTTCTTCTATACCAATTCACTTATAAATTAATACATTTTTTTGTTTTATTTTAAATCAATTTCTACTTCAGGCTAAACTTTTCTTATTATTATTACTATTAATGCACACTTTCTTTTTACACTATTTTTTAAAGTAAAACTAATGCAAATGCTATTACAGAAATGGCCAATGAGGACCCGCCTGTATGCTGGAATTTTAAGCAGCACAGTTCCCGCGCTACAAGAACCGGAACAAGAATTTAGATCACCGGAAACACGCAACTCGGCACCATGGACGCTTAATTCGTGCAGATAATTATCTCGCTATTCTATCTTTAAGGCAAACACCTTCACATTTTATATGTAAATATTTTAAATGACCTGTTCTGGTCATTGTGCAGAACATTTTATTGAAAATGTATGATCTGTTAAAATAATTTACAAATTGGTAGAAACATTATTTAATGGTACGTTATATATATAAATTGTCGAATATGTACGATACAAAAATACTAAAAAAACTCAGTCACATTTTTTTGCTATTATACATGTTGTTTTTTAAAATGTTTTTATGGTAGACAATTTATAATTCATTTTCATCTGTCGCGGATTTGAATTGTCAATTCATTTCTTTTTTTTAAATTTTTGTAGCTAAAATCTATATCTTAACACTGTCGTTATTTTTCAACAACTTAACCGCTACAGATATGCAGTTATATGTAATTTTAATTCTCCCTGTATCAGGAGTTAAAAAGCCACGTAAAATGATTGTTGTAAATAATTAGATGTGACGGTAAGGTCATCAGTGAACACAGAAAGTGGCGGGACAAGTTATTATATTTTAATTAATTGTCTCTCTGTGTTGACGATGTAATCAAGTAAAACACGTCAACTCTAACGATTCTTTCGTGGTCGACGAACATAAACTAATGTGAATATCAAAAGTTTGTAAAAAGCAGAATCATTTTTTAATAATTTTAGAGAAACGCTAAAAAACTGATGAGTTGAAAACATTATGATGACTTGTCTAAAACCTGGTGTATTTGTTTCCATATACATCGATTGAATAGTTAATCGTCAGAAGTAATTTCTATAAGTATGTTTTATCAGAAATATACATTACATTATATTAATGTATCTCCACATTATTGACGTTTGAAACTTACTTTTGTACATTTAAATACTTAATTTATTTATACTTATTATAATTATTTTATTATGCTTATCTATTTTTCTATTATTTTTGTTTAATTTCTCATTCGATTTATCTATATTTACATATAAAACATTTGTTAAAATCATTTCCTGAAAAAGTACTTAAAACTGAAATTGATAAGAATTTGATATCACACAACTTCATTCAAATATACGGAGCCCCTAAGGTGACATTTTCCACACTTTTTTCCCCGGAAGTTAATTCGTTTTTACGAAATAATAATTCGTAATTACGAAATAATAATTCGTTTTTACGAAATATTAATTCGTAAATACGAAATATTAATTCGTTTTTACGAAATATTAATTCGTTTTTACGAATTATTATTTCGTAATTACGAAATATTATTTCGTTATAACGAAATATTAATTCGTAATTACGAAATATTAATTCGCTTTTTTCGAAATATTAATTCGTTTTTACGAAATATTATTTCGTAATTACGAAATATTATTTCGTAATTACGAAATATTAATTCGTAAAAACGAAATATTATTTCGTAATTACGAAATAATAATTCGTAAATACGAAAAAATATTTCGTAAAAACGAATTAAATTTTTTCTAACGTTTCAAAGAGTTTTGGTAATAGTTATAAATAAGGCCTCAAAACTAAGTTCCTGACTTAATATAAGGCATGTACACGCAATATAAATAGTGATTTTTGTTCTTCCCAAGTTTTTTTAACTTTACACTATTGTACATAAATTAAAATAATCGCATGTCAATAGCGTTGAGGCACAGCCGTGATAGTACACGCGCTAGGAAAATTTAGTTAAAATGGGGGTCCTGTGCTTCAAATCCAAACACGAACATTTCTAATAATACATTGTGAGGAAATATTCATTTTAAATTGATTAGATTAGTGAAAGTATGGAAGTCTGAAAGTCTCGTCCCATTAGTTTTACTAATGTATATGATAAAAGAACGGAATAATATAGCATGTTTCTGCTTTAAAGATACATGTCGTAAAAGATTTCTCAAACATTAACACATTGCTGATAGGAACATGTATTTGACAATGGGGAAACAAAAGACCATTTTGGATAGAGAATGACTTCTCACTCAAAAGCCCTGATCACTTAAATATAATAACTTGAAAACCATTCGGCTTATAATCGCAAAGTTGATCAAGGCATGTAAATGACCCATTTGTGATATTAATAGGTTCTTTATCTAGGTCAAAATGACCTTAAATAAGATTTCGTAAAAAGGAATTAATATTTCGTTATTACGAAATAACATTTCGTTTTTACGAATTAATATTTCGTAATAACGAAATAACATTTCGTAATTACGAAATAACATTTCGTAAAAACGAATTAATATTTCGTAAATACGAATTGATATTTCGTAATTACGAAATAACATTTCGTTTTTACGAATTAATATTTCGTAATTACGAAATAACATTTCGTAAAAACGAATTAATATTTCGTAAAAACGAATTAATATTTCGTAATTACGAATTAATATTTCGTAAAAACGAATTAAATGCCGGGGGAAAAGTGTCGAGAATGTCACCTTAGGGGCTCCGTACAAATACAATGTAGTATAAACTTATTTTTGACTAACCTCCGGTAATGTTGTTAGAACTTTTGGTCCGACCCTTGTGTATGTACACTTGATTATGTTTGTAAAATTGTATATTGTGTGTATATTTATACAATAAAATATCATTTTACCAAAATATGTAAACTAAAAAAAGTGGTTTACTTTGATATAAAAATGTAAAAATTATCAAAACCTGCTATGATATATAGTTCGTATGAACACTGGCAGCAGGGCACGTGAGAATGACTTGCACGTAAAACAATACTCTAGCCTGTAATAATTGATGAGACAGTTAAATATTGCTGTTACATTAAAAAGGGGAAAAATAGATAAAAATTGTTGAAAGTTTTATCTAGAAATAGCATCTTTTGTCAGAATAAACAATTGATTTTTGTATTGTAAATTGAGTAACGTAGATTGAATAAATGCTGTCAAATAATTTGTTGTTTTCTTTCTTTCTTGTCTCCTTGACTTCGAAATTCATGTTTTAACAATACAGTGCATGTATTGTACACGCCGTCGATATGATATGTATTGTTTGACTGTGAATACATTGATATGATCACTAGATAAAACAATGATATATATGACAGATTCTTTAGGTTTTTGTCAGACTTTACTTGAAAACAAAGATTATTGCTTCTAGATTTTAGAGAACATGTATCAGACCAAATTATGTCGTAAACGCTATGTGATATTATTGTAACTTCAGATAGTAACTCCGACTTACGATGTACCGTTGGCGAAACAGCTAAATTGATTATTATTTGATTGATTGTCTTCAAGCTAACTACCTGAATTGTCCACAAATTAAAGAACACTCTTATACGTTCACAAAATTGGCCAAATACTTGATACTTACTCTATCAGGTATGAACGATCGCTTGTAAAATATACCGTTTTTAATGAGATGAACGTTGTTGATTTTTTTTTTAAATTCCTTTCTAACCTTACACTATCTTTACCCTCTGAAGGTGATAAGCCTTTGACAACAATATGGCGGTAGGCCCGTCTAAAACGCCTTGCAGCCTTACAAGGCATTAGAAAGTTGGCAGTCTTAATTTTCATAAACACCAAAGTAAATAAAAGAGACAAGTCCATTAAAGAAATACAGGAGATTAAATGTTATAGAATAACAATCGGGTTTCATTGAAGTCTAAGATCAAGTATATTCTAATTTGTAATTTCCTTTTACAGCTCGCTGATCATTATGTTACATTTTGAAACAATTCTAAAATTAGTAATGTCAAGACAGTAAAACCGATACTATTATTATACTTTATTTCCCATTTTCATAGATTTTAAACAGAATAGAGAAATTACATACCATCGCATTCATTACATGTTTTACGATAATTAAAACATCAAATAAAGGGTATGGTTTAAACATATAAGCACATAAATTTAGGATATACATCATAATATATAGATATTTGCATTAATAAATATTATTATTACCTGATACCTTATATAAATGTTATTTGGTATTTTTAACCGTTTTCTGAAATTCTAAAAACGTCAACGTTCGCGAACTGTTGACCGGTCAATAGTTTCAACTGTCTCCCGCGCGTGCTCTGACGTCATTGAAGTCATAGAGGATTCCCACTTGAAACGTCCAACGATCTTGATCATAAAACAGACGTGACGTGACATAGTTAAAGTATTAAGTTTAATTATTAACATATGTGCAAAACTATTTTCTTGTTCCTTTTTTCTTCTGCAAGTTCTGTTAAAACACTATTTGATCAGGTAATAAAACAGTTATTTTATATGTGATTTGGGAACAGTCAAACAGTTGTCCCTCGGTGTCGGGGATAGTGTTTTTGGAACTGTTGCCCTCGGCCTACGGCCTTTGGCAACAGTTCAAAACACTACCCCCTCCACCTCGGGCCAACATTTTGACTGTTCCAAAATCACATATAAAATAACTGTATAAGATACACATGTGTCTATGTTGTGACAAAAATACTGTGATATTTTTTTACATTTATCGTATATAGTCTATTATTCATTTAACTTTAGCACTTTTACGAAACGAAAACAAAAATATTATACTTTATAATTGGATAAGCATCTTTAATACTAAACTGATTATATTCTTGTTGTTTTACATAACAAAATCTGTTGAAATAAATTTCAGTAAGTTTCTCTGACAGTGAAACTTGTTGCCTACTAGAAGTTTTATAAGTAAAACACAGGAATAAAAAGGGGTGGTACTTGTTTGGGTTTATTGTGCATGTGTTTCCATCATAGCGTCAAGTTTTGATATTATAATATTAATTATCGTTTAATATAAAAACATTTTCTTCTGTTGAAACGAAGGTATTTTATACTTTAAACAACAAAATTTGACATTACTTTGTAATTCCTATGTAAATATTTTGTTTGACATTTAAAAGATAGTTATAGTTTAAAACAAATAAATCATCGTTCTGCTAAGAAAGCAAATGAATGTTATTTCCGCCCAGCATGATTTTTAGATGACCACGATGACAGACACAAATCCTACTGTCTATAATTCTACTATATCTGCGTCTTTAGACATATCGCCTTTTGTTGTTACAATGTTTAGTTTGGATCAGTTTCCCTCGTTACATGTTACATTAAAAAAAATAACATATGAATATTTACCTATCATTATAAACATACACAGGCATGTGTTACACATATACTGAAGTATTAATTAAAAGTCTTGTAATTCATATTTGAATTACTTTTAGACTATGTATCGTTATTTCAAGATAAATTAACGTCAAACGTAGCAAATAATCACAGTCACACAGATGTTAAAACCACGTAAAATAATGATGTATAAATTGAAGAGATATCGTAAAAAATAACCGTTTTAAATAAACAAACAAACAAACAGTTGCATCGTATTTGAATTTAAAAAAAACAACAATAACATAATATCATTGAAATATCATTTTTAACTTGGTATGGTTAGCTACATACTAAGATTAATCATATTTATCAACAAGGATAACTAAAACACCAAACCGTTCTGTGTGTTTAAATTGTTGATCTATCTGTGAATTGACATTTATACCAGTTTCGTGTATTGATAAATCAGTAGGGTTAACCGCTAAATGTAAGTTAAATGGACATTTATAGGAATATTTAGTACATTTCTAATTGATATTTTATTGACGTCCAATGGCGGTTTTATGTTTACAATTTTTTAAGGGATTGATTGATTGTGATATGACAGGCATTAGATAAATATTGACGTCCTTTAGTGAAATGGACATTAATATAATGATAAACAAAATCGACATTAGTCAAGAAGTTCAATCAACGCTGAGAAAAGTCTCTCTTACATTTAATATAAAGTTTACCCAAATAGTACATGCATTACTTCTATGTTAAAGTAAAGAGATGTGGTTCAATTTTCAAGTGGGATTCCAAAATTTAGATGTGGCCCCAACATTCCAAAATGTTATGTGTTTAGGAAAGTTACATAATAAAATTAGGCAACAGAGACAAAATATGCACGTGACACCAATAGAGGGTCACTGTTTTTAAGCTGGTCGTGCATACATTAACAAGGCCCCTAGTGTATGACTTCAACTACCTGGAATCACGTGATCTGATGCGCGTTTAAAACTTAATCACACTTTTATGAAGTTGAAAGTCCTCCACTTAGTAATCATTTATACTTACCTAAACTACACTCGGAGCTGGAGTTAAAGAACAAACATAATACTTGTAACACGTTATGCACATTTATGTACTGGGATATAAGTTGGTTGATGATGATAGCACGAGCTGCAGGTAACATGATGAATAAATGACTAATGCACAGCATTTACTATAATATCCTTGGAATTTGATACTTACTGTAGGTATATCATACTCATTATCTTCAAAATAAAATAAATCATAGAGACGGGTATTGAACAAAAAACATACACATATGATTGAAAGTTGAAGTTTACCTTACTATGATGATTTTCTACAATGAAACGGAATTTTTGTATCATTTAGTGCAAATTTAGAAATAAAAACTTGGAATATGCCCATCAGTGTATCATTTATTGCAAATTTTATTCATTTCTGTAAGCACGTTAAATAAATACGGGTATATTTAATAGTACGCTCAAACTCAAACCGGTATACGTAAATGAAAAGAGCATCGAAACACGAGGCTGTCTGATGAGTATGAGGTAACGTATATCAGTTTGCCGAGTGTTTTGCTGTTTTTTCTCCTTTGTATCATAGGCAAAAATAAAATCACTTTCCCTGTCGTCACAATATGAAACCCAAGAATAAATGAAGCAGTGTAAGGGCATCTGGATATATTTTCTTTATCATTATCCCTTTCTTTATCGTCATAATAAGTACCCCCCCCCCCCCCCCCACAAAAATGTTGCCAATCAACGAGCATGCCCTATGTTTTTTCCACGAGAGACAGTGCGGTAACAAGAGTTCGGGTAACTATAATACCTGAACGCGGTTAACGCACCGTGCTTTTATAGGTAAACGATTTAACTATGACACGCGTAGCCCCCGAGTATTAATCAGATTGCCGAGTGTTTTGATGTTCTTTCTATTTTATATCATAGTTAACATAAAACACGTTCCCTGTTGTCACAATATGAAACCCCAGAAAAAAGTAACCATTGAACGAGCATCTAAATATGATATTTCTATCGCTTTCCCTTTTTCTGCCGTCACAATAAGTAAACCCCAGCAAAATTAGCCAATCAATGGGCATGCTCTGGAGTGCGGATAACTAATACTAGAACCTGCACTTCCGTTAACGCACTCTGCATATATATGTATATGATTTAATCCCCAAACTAAGATACAAATATGTTTTAAACTTTACAGTTCCTATTGAGTAGTAAACTAATATTAAGAAGATAAAGGGTGCAATCACGACATAATACACAAATAAATAAGCACAATTTTGAAGACAAATTTTCTTTCCTCAATTTGAAATTTAGAGCGATATGTTTAATACTGAAAGATTGTAGTGAAGTTTAAAACAATGTTTTGTTGTAGAAGCCGACGAATGATTTATCTGTCTAATGATCATTAAGTATCTAGTCTCCTTTAATGGACCATAAATGTTTACTAAACAACTTTACAGTGTAAATTTCTTTGATAAATTATATGACGCTTGAAATTTATCTATTATATTAACAAATAAATCACAGTTTTTACTTACTTTTATATGGTGTTGTCGGTGTCGTATGTACTTTAAGAAAAAGTTTGTTCATAATTTGAATGCTGTTTTTATGTTTATATAAAGTTCATTGAATTTAAAACGTAATATTAACTGTATAATGTTTTACTTTACATGAAAATTGTATTCACTTTTTGATACAAAATATAACATTGGTATAAAATGAATTTATTAATTGTCAAACAATTTGCTATTGGCTTTCTTTAACTTAGTTGTCAAACAATTGCTTTCTTTAATTTATTTACATTATTATAATTTGTTTATGCAAAATTTACCCTGTCTTTGTGTCGGGTCATGTTTCGATAAATGACGAAAACAAAGACGAAATACAACCGCTTTGAAATAGATATTCGTTTACGTTATTGTGTTTAAAGAAATATGAGAAAAATCCTGGTCTGACTTTCTGATTAACAATTAAATTGTTTAAAATTGTTTCGTCTCTAATTTACAGGAGAAATAATTATTTTAATTTATGAATATATGTTAACATTTTCATGATACACAAAACTGCTTTCTGTTGTATTGTAATAGTACTAGATAGAAAATGATTTATTTATTATTTTTGTCTATCTTACATAATATAATGTGTTAAATACTAATATATAAAGGACATATGTTGACATGCTCTTACAAGGACTTTTGACTTAAGAAAAGTAACTCAACAATCATGGATGGTGCAAGTAAGGTTGCTTTTCTTTTTCTCTGTAATTTTCTCTTATGACTAGTTTGGTCCTTTAACCACAAACTTAAACACTTGTTTTTTTATTAGTAAAGCGTTTTTTATCAAAATTAAATAATTTGCATATGTTTATTGTTTTAAATATTGTAATCAACAATGTTCACAAACATTCTCATACAAAATGTGAGGATTTGGTTCCAATATATTAAGGAAGTCTAGAAATGCGGTCACACAAGTTTCCAAAATTGAGAACTTCCGTTAAACCTAATATCTTGTTTAACTCAAACCTACACCTCTTTATCCGCCATAAGAACATGTATGTCAGTTGTTGTGTTTTCTTTAGAAAGGAATATAGGACAACAATATGTTGTATTTACAAGATATCGTCAACATGGAGGGGCATTCACTGATCACTCCTGTACCAGAAGTGAAGACATATAATGTTAACATGATAGCATTTTGTCATTCATAAACACATGTCATAGAAATCGACGTAACATTCATTCAATATGTAATCTTACATGTTTTTATAAAGTTTTATATTTTATCACTACAGACGGTATAGATGTTGAGCGCGTGCTTGGTCACATGATGTGGACAGATATGGACGTGGATGATAATGGTAAAGTGTCTGTTAATGAATTTGGAAGATATTTAAGACAGCAAGGCGTAGATGTCTCGAATTTTGCAATATTGAGGATTGTCTCTGATGGACAAACACGTATGTTTACATTTCGAATTTTATAACTATATTTGTTATATACTCTATAGAACGTTTTACGTGAAATGTGAATACTTGTACATTATTATATGTAATGTAAATAAATCTTTACCTCTAAAATATCGTAAGTTATAAATGATAGCATATTTTATTATTTCTATTCATTTTTAGGTTTTCTCTTATGTATTTCATTATATCATACAAGCCAGTTGTTAAAAGCACCCTACCATTGGTGAATATACGCCATGTCCTGAACAATGGTTTATATACCTCTTCTTGAGGTAACTTAACGAGAGCTGAATCACTGATCAAGATACATAATGTAAAATTAAAAACAACATTCTATGACCAAAAATGAAGCAAATTATTTCGTCAATGATGTTGTCTTTTTTGAAAACGCATAGTGTGCGTTAAACAAACTCAATATCGACGTGTTCCATATTAGTATACATTGATGTCAAACACCTATACACACTTCCTCATTTTATGAATTTGCTGCACTATCAAGTAGATGTACTACTAGTAGATGTCTCTCAACCTAGGGTTCATCGTTTGAGTGCTGGTGTTTTTATATGGCGCTAGCACTGGCTAGTTATTTGAAGGCTATTTCGAGAATGGTTACAATAAAGTCCAAGATTCAGTAACCTGTCTGAGAATGATTTGAATAAGCATTGAGCTTCAGGGAGCTGCCTCGAATGTCGTCTTAAGTAGCTTATCACAGTCGACTTTGTCATTTAAGTAAGCAGATTAACTTTGAAGAATGTATTTAAGTGTATTGAAGAAAGAACGTTACCTATCTATTATTTTGATATTCTGTAATTACAATATAAGTATGTCTATGTCAAACAATATATTGTGTCACATGTGGCTGCATTTAATTTTCAGCTCAAACCAGTATGGACCACGAAATGTTCGTCAATACAAAAGAAAAACTCGCATTAGAACTAGCTAATCAGGTTAACCAATATTTCATGTATTTTTATGATATCATTTACCGTTACATGATGGCTTAAATCCTTCAGCACACAGGGTGCACTCACGTAAAACATTTGGAATATAACTTTCATATTACATGTATATTAAAACAGCTAGCATGGGCATCTATGGGCGAGTTCTTAAGTATGACTTGAAAACACTTACTCCTCCTCACTGTAGGTTCGAATCCCGGCAGGGACTTTGGATTTCATACATGTGAGGAAGCTATCCAGGTCGTTTACGAAACGTCGGTGGTTCTACTCGGGTGCATGTGAAATAAAACACGGAAGGGCACCAAAAGCTAGAAAGTCACCGCATGGCCTTTTCTGTGTCGGTACGACATAAAACCCAACAAAAATAATAAATAGAATTTAAAAAACAGCAAGAAATAAAGTAATATTGTTTCTATTTACGCTGGTGTACATCAATATTGGCTAAATTGTTCTATTGTTATCAATTCTTATTGTGTTAATATGACAATATAATATCAAAAACAATTTCAATTTCTATCCTTGAATTATTTCAATGAATGAATTTTCAAATTGTTTAACTCCAGTAATGTTTGTGTACAACAGCCTGATTTGCCAATGGATAGTTATAACGTGTTTTCTAATTTGCAGATATACAGCCCACTGATCTTTTGATGGTTTTTTCCCCATATTTAAGCATTTCAATAATTTGTTACTTGTGAGGTGTGAGAAAATATATGATCCCTTTATACAAGCTACAAGCTACTCTGTTCTTTAGCTTAAATGTATTTAACAAATAAAATAATATATATACATATATTAATTTTCCTTTGTTTTTATTTTACAGAAAGACCTTACACCAGATGCCAAACTTAGGAAATATAAAGGTATTTAAATCAAGGACGTTAAAGCTCTTTTCGGCTGAACTGTATAAACAACAATAAAATGTTTTTATAAACCCTTAGTAGAAATATATGAGTAACTAAAGCAAGTTCTTGATTAATTGTAAGAAATGAATATAAAGTTATTTCTGTTATCTAGATAACAATAGGCTCATGTACATTAGGTGTGTTTTATATCTCATTAGATACGATATGTGTTGTAACATATTGATTGTTTTACAGCTAGTTACCTTGATCTATGGAGAGAACATGCTAGATCTAGGAACGAGACTGGGGAGGTTCCACTATCCAAACTTCCACACATTGTATTTTCGGAATGTAATCCGACGAGAGAACTCCTAGACGCTCTAATTGCCGTCAAACAAGACGGTATGTTATACCAAACGTTAAAATTGCAGTATGCACTCAAAGCAAAATGTTAGGATTTTTGTAGTGATTGAAACATTCGTTTTTCTTTTCTTTGATGTTTATGCATTACTCAGTTGTTTCCCTTCGGCGTCGTGATTATTTTTGAAAACGAAAGTATAGGGCCTCCGCAACATGACAAATATGCTTACTTCAGTCCATTTAGATACCAAAGAGATTTAAATAAAATGCAGACATACATGTGAATAATAATACTGTTGAACAGTCAATGACTGTAAAAGATGAAATTGATTAATTATTCAAATATGTTTACTCATTTATTTCTCATATAGTCTTTCTTAGCAATGTCAAACCTTTCAATAAATTTATTATGCTACATCAACAGCCTAATCACTAACTGATACTGATTTATGTTGCAGGAAGTGAAAGTATTAACTTTGAGGAATTTTGTGAAATGTTAGAAAACCTTCCACAATCGGGTATGATTGACGAGGATGTCTTACTGAAGGCTTTCCAAACAGAAGATATAGACAACAGTGGTTCCATCAGTAGATCACAATTATACTCTCTACTTATAGGTAATACTGCACATCGCAATTATACTCTCTAGTTATAGGTAATACTGCACATCACAATTATACTCTCTACTTAAAGGTAATACTGCACATCACAATTATACTCTCTACTTATAGGTAATACTGCACATCACAATTATACTATGTACTTATAGGTAATACTGCACATCACAGTTATACTCTCTAGTTATAGGTAATACTGAATATCGCAATTATACTCTCTACTTATAGGTAATACTGCACATCACAATTATACTCTGTACTTATAGGTAATACTGCACATCACAATTATACTCTCTAGTTATAGGTAATACTGTACATCGCAATTATACTCTCTACTTATAGGTAATACTGCACATCACAATTATACTCTCTAGTTATAGGTAATACTGCACATCGCAATTATACTCTCTACTTATAGGTAATACTGCACATCGCAATTATACTCTCTACTTATAGGTAATACTGCACATCGCAATTATACTCTCTACTTATAGGTAATACTGTACATCGCAATTATACTCTCTACTTATAGGTAATACTGCACATCGCAATTATACTCTCTACTTATAGGTAATACTGCACATCGCAATTATACTCTCTACTTATATGTAATACTGTATATTGCAATTATACTCTCTACTTATAGGTAATACTGTACATCGCAATTATACGCTCTACTTATAGGTAATACTGTACATCGCAATTAAACGCTCTACTAATAGGTTATATTGTACATCGCAATTATACTCTCTACTTATAGGTAATACTGCACATCACAATTATACTCTCTAGTTATAGGTAATACTGTACATCGCAATTATACTCCCTACTTATAGTTAATACTGCACATCACAATTATACTCTCTAGTTATAGGTAATACTGTACATCGCAATTATACTCTCTACTTATAGGTAATACTGCACATCGCAATTATACTCCCTACTTATAGGCAATACTGTACATCGCAGTTGTACTCTCTTCTAATAGGTAATACTGTACATCGCAATTATACTCCTTACTTATAATAGATGATTCTGTATATCGCAATTATACTTTACCTATAGGTAATACTGTACATCGCAATTATACTCTCTACTTATAGGTAATACTGTACATCGCAATTATACTCTCTACATAAAGATAATACTTTACATCACAATTATACTCTCTACTTATAGATAATACTTTACATCGCAATTATACTCCGTACTTATAGGTAATACTGCACATCGCAATTATACTCATAATAGATGATTCTGTATATCGCAATTATACTTTACCTATAGGTAATACTGTACATGGTAATTATACTTGTCTTTCTGGCAATAATGAACACCGCAATTATACAATGCTTATAGGTAATACTGTACATCTTTAACATTTACACATTTGTTCCCTTTATGTGCATATATATTTTAGTCCCATCATAATACAACGATATTTATGACATTTATGATTTTTTAATCTTTTCTTTTATCAGAAAATGGAAATGATCCATTAAAGAAAGAAGAAGTCGATGAAATGATGGAAGATTGTGGATCTGGCGACAGATTCAAATATACAGGTAATTATGATCTTATAAAGTAGAAAAAAAACGGAATCCCTAAAGATGATATAAGCACCTTATAGAAATTTACATATTTTTTTTCATGATTTATTTAATTGACACGAAACATAAATGCCAGTATCATAACCGCCAATTTTATTTAATTTTAAACGTTTTATTTATCTGTATTAACCAAATGGCATCTTTTGAACGACGCTTTATACACGTACTTGACGTAAGTTACCTATTGAAATTTATTTCCATTCTCGAGAATTACATAACAAGTAAGTGGGGTATCTTATCATAAATTGAAATGCAATGCATGCATAGTATGTCATTTGGAAAGACTGATATGGTTTGAATAAAGAATAATCTGGCCATGACTGTGCTTTTATGTAATATTCCTTACCCCGAGATCTTTAAGAATAATGGCAATTATATTTACTTTACTTTCAGACTGGATTCAGCGAGTTATTACTATAAAAAGCTTGTCGGAGAAATAAAGGATGCTTGATTTACATGTTTACCTGACATATACTCATATCATTATGATAACAAAACTATAATATATTCGGTTTATGTCTGATACGTTTCAAAGAATACAACATTATTTCATACATTAACATGTCTGTTGATATGTTCTAGTTTCCGAGTTCTTTACACTGGCATTAAATCCGCAAAACCGTTTCCTGAAATAGTATAATATTAACTATCAGAAAAATAACAAATAACTATCTATTTCACAAAGTTTAACAACCTTTGATAAAACTTTCAAGTCGCTTAATATATTAAATAAAAAAAGAAATTCTCATATTCTGCTTGAGTACTTCAACAAATAATAAATTTTAATGAATCGTTACTTTCTTCAAAGTATTAAATCCAGGTGATTTTCTTCAAATTAACCAAAATATTTTCAACTGTATCTATATAAAAAGTGGACATACTTGGCATCGGTTTCACCATTAACGATGTCGACTTTGTCTATTTGAATGGTATGTGACGACAAGAGGGACCATGTTAAAGGATTGTACCAATGAGAGTCGAGCTCCCATCTAAACTGCATCTGAGTGAGATCACCTATGTCATGTGTGGAAGTTAGCATAAAACCGTATGTATGTCCAGGCTGAACTGTCATCACGCTGAGGAATATATGTTTCATGTGTTACTTCAGTATATCATACACTAGTAGTAACTAAGTAATGGAATCATCAGATAAAATTGTCTCCACTTACCAATCTTATACTGATTTAAACATGTATTTTAAAAACATTAATTTATACATGCATGTTATATCTTACTTAAATACATCATTACTACAAGGAACATTTCTATGGTTACAAAACATTACTTAGACAGACAGTTGGCATTTATTTTGAGTATAAATCTCTGTTCACCATATTTTATTTGAAAGTGGCCATTTGTACAAATGTTTTCTGAATTCAATAAATACGGTATGAATTCTCCATGGTCAGTTAGTCCATTCACAAAAATATGTTATGGCATCACATATCTTCTGCCTTTCACTTAACTTTACCGTTTTGAAGATAAATACCGTTAAGTTTTTCTTTCCCTGCTTTGCGTTTACTATACCTTTAATACGACGTTATTGCTAATTAATGCAATGTCCGACTTTAGTAATCATTCAAATCAATATAGTCATTGTCTATAAATTTTAGCCTTATTCGGATGATGGTTGAAAGTCTCTTTATTACTAAATCCCGCATTTTATTATATCTATCTTACTTTAAAATTTCATTTACACATACAACAGGGGCCTTTTAAACAGAGCAAATATATTAAACATAAATTTTCACATCAGTATGACTTACTCTGTGTTTAGTTGTTGCTCTCCCAGTTGCCCGTTGCTACCAATCAGGTTAATATAAAGCGTTCCCTTTTGTGACTTAGCCCCAAGATTTCCAAATTGCACATCAACTTGGTAATGGTAACCTTTGAAACATAACGTTCTGAATAAACTACTTATTTCTGCACGTTACAATATAATAAATGAACATAGAAATAAGTTGTAAATTCCCCAATTATATTCCAGATAAATAGATCAAAGATCACGTGTTTATACATATTCCAACAAAGTGATATTTTCTATAATATGCTTAATGGTATTTATGTGTTATGTTGAAATATTTTTTCTCGTTAAAAAGACGATCATCTTGATTACTTTTAAACTACTAATATTTTATTTGCATCACAACATTGTCTTATGGACAGAAGAAAACATATCGCAAACATACGGCAGTACGGAGCAACTTTTCCAGTGTCTAAGAAGTATTTTACGTGTGTTTTTCCTACAGGAGGTTTTGTTTTATCTGCATGGAATCCCATATATCCACATCGTCCTCCGCTACAAGGAAGACATAGTCCACGCTAGAATATAACATAAACAACTCATTATATCAATCAAAACGTCTATCCTTTAATATGTGATTTCTACTAATACAGACACAATATTTCAAGACTTGAAGAACAATTATATTTAGGTTTGTTTTGTAGCATATGCGATATTGTTCTCCGCTTACAATAGCATGCATTTTTGTTGTTGTTGCTTTTAATACTTATGCACAAAATTTATAACCAAGGAAAATTAAAGATATACAATGTGGTATTAAAAAATATTGATAATTGCTACACAGTCTCTTTGTAAATATAAAATAAACATGCTTATAATTTTCACAAAGTAGATATATTATCTTTAAAATTCTACATAGCATTGGTAGTCACAATATACATATCTAGTGTCATTCAAAAAGTGGCAGTTTTGTTTTATCAAAAGACCAACTTAACAGAACATGTACGCAGCTTCCCATACATAGATTATTCATTCTTTTATTCAAATTAGAGTTAGAATTCCATAGATTTCAATAGCTTACTGTCATTAAAATATTTAAGTCAAGGATTAGCATAGTATGTCCCCACAACAAGTAAAGTTAATAATCAAATAATGTAACATCAATGTAACATCAAGAGGTGTTTTACAGTGAGTTTCCACTAAAATTCACTAGCATGTCAGCACAAAATACTTGTTTAAAAGAGATAGTGCATTAAAGTATAAAACATACCTCAAAATCAGCGTAACTTGAACAAGAGTAGCCGTTAAATGGACATCTACTGTTGATAGATTCAGTGTAATAATGATGTGCTCTCAAATGACTGCATGCAACGATTTGTTTCCCGCCTAAATATACATTTATGAAGAATAAACAGCATACATACTTCTATAGTGAGGTAAAATATCACACGGAGCTTTATGTCTTGTAATATAATTGTAGAATTGTTTTGTCCTTGTAAAGTATTTGCGGGATAAAAAGAGTACGGTATTCATAATATATCCCATATTTCTAGATACAACATATATTTACAAATATACATTAATCTTGTTTATGATATTCATGTATGATGTAAATTTGTATTGTTACATGCACTATCATTGAAGTTTATATATAACAAACTAGTAGTCAAGGAACGTAGCAAGAGGACATATAGTATTTTAACGTTCTAGATAAAACAAACCCTCGTATATATCTCCCTCCGTTAGAAGCTTGGTTACAGGGTTTGCGTCACATCCTGGTTGATTTAGTCCTTCATTAGGATAATAATCTACATGGCCACATGCTTGTACCATACCATAACCTTATCATCATATAAAACATATACATGTATCTTTTATTTAAAGATATGGTCAAGATAGAGCTTTGTCTAAATTAACAAAGGATGTTTACTGCCTCCGAAAAATGAAAGAAAATACACATTTTATTTTACAGACAAAGATTATTTGGAGTTTTTACAACATTTTAAATCCATATCAGGAAGAAGTTAATGCATTAGAAAACAAGCAAATAAACACAACGCTTTAGACTGCATGCCAAAAATAGCACTGACACTGTTGTCAGAGGTTCTGTTTATAGTTACTGAGATAGATGTGTTTTGTTTCATGAAAAACAAGTTCTAGTACGAAGTACACGTGTAACAGCGTCATTCAAATAAACATTGATGCTCCTTACCAAGTGTAAGAATGCTTGCTCCGTTTGTATGCATTACATCAACAAATGTTGCATCTGAAGGGTCCAGTCTTACGCTAGTTGGTGTGTACTGGAAATATGGGTCTGCAGGATCCAGACCTGGTTAATATGAAGATAAATTTATTGAATAAGGTATAGCATTATAAATCCAACTTATCACCCGATTAACAACATGCATAAAATTGCGATTTGATTAAAGAATGAATTTGATTTATCATGAGATAGTTACCAGAGATTCGTCCTAAATTTTGAGTTCTTGCTCCAGCATATCCGCAGATATGTGCTCCTAAACTGTGTCCTATCAAGTGAAAATCTTCAGCTCTGGTCGCTGTCTGGTCCTTAAATAATAAATCTCAACACTTTGATGCTATTCAGTATAAACCATATAAACAAAATTATACAAAAATAAAAAATTTCTTGAAATTAAACAAATTTAATAGAACTTTATAAGAATATGACATGCTCATTAAAATTAATTTTCATACTTTATGATAATTGTTCGTAGGAGACAAAACATTCCATGCAAAAAGTTAATTTCAATTCTTTATTAGATTAACGATGATTATATCTTGTAGCAGGAAATATATGTACGACTGTACCTGTAAGACTCGGATAAGTTTAGCCAGTTCTGCTCCTACAACTCTGGTGTTAGCCGTCGCTTGTGTGTAAGGAGGTTTGGAACCACCGCCCCAGTCAAGTAGGATCACATTATAGTCATCGTACTTCAATAGCTCGTCTTTCATTTGCTATAAATAAACCAGATGTTTTTTTACAAATTTTCTTTATTTTCTTTATGTATTATAGAGGAAATAAAAGTACAAAGTTGTACTTTGTTCCGGTATTGCTATATGAACAAAGAAAAGATTAACTGAAGTTAGATATTGGTATCGTAAACCAAATCTACCATCAACATTTTGGATTCTGATATATCAAGGTATCTACATAGACAAAATCTGACACATGGTGAAATATAAATATGAAATATTATTTTTTCATATTTGTATGACCTGTAGAACTCATATTTATCTGAACATATAAATAGCGGTTTTGTGAACCAGTATACGTATGATCTATATCACAAAGACACGGGGTCTGAATAAGGTCGAGAAAACCAAACTTAACACAACTCCGAGAGAGTATATAAAAATCATACATTAACTTCGATATGTGGATAGAAAGCTCGGCTAATATCAATTATCTTTGTAAAGATTAGACAAGTATAAAGCATAAACATGATTACCATCATCCAGTCTGTAAAGCCGTTCTCAATGAAACCATGGCTGATAACTTTTGTTTTCTTCGAGGAAACGAAATTGGAATTTTTGATGCTGTTAAAATTGTTTGCGTTCAGAAGTTGATAGGCGGTGTTTCGGGAATTTTGTTTTGTGAATAACAAGAAGCGGGTATTGATGGATGCTGGTGAGGCAGGGCTCAGATTTACTGGTCTATGAAGGCTAGTAAAATCACCACCTGTACTGAAACATCCTAGATCACCATAACACACAGTAGAACCTTGAAAAGTACACATAGAAATACTTACAAAACATTGACCTTCATAAAGAATAAAAAAAGACATGCAGTGTTATAACCGGACTAAATTAGGTGTAATCACGGTTCTGGGACAACTTAAAATTTAGTTTGCTGTTTACAATGATAACATAATGACAATATACATGTCAAAAATAAGCTGTCCGCTAATCTTTAAATATATTAATACCAATCAGCTTTATACATGTATAGCTATCTAAATATTGTAAGATTTTCATACATACGTTTTTCAATTTCCTCTGCAGCAACGGCGGTGAAGAGAAATAAGACATGAAAGACAAGGTGAAACATTTGATGTTCCATTGTCTTCCCGGTGTGTGTTTGACTAATTATCAAGTTCAAGAATGGTGGTATATATGAGACCGGAGATAAACTTATTTGACCTGCCAAGGAATTCAATGTTTTATCATAGACATACAGTCGTAGTCTCATGTATATAAATATGAAATGTCTGTTTACTGTGTGAAAACTACAATACATGACGTACTTCTTAGGTCAATTTCAAAAATTCAATATTCCGCAATTTTCAAATAAAACTTTTTTAATAATAAAATATTTACAATGACTATATTGCATTGTTATGGTATTTAATTGATTCATAGTAAATTATGATATTCTTAATGAATAAGGTTAAAAACAAGATCATTACAATTTCTTTTGTTATGTTTTCAGATATTTTTGTAAATGAAATAAGTTCGAAATTAATCTATATTGTAGTAAACAATTTATTTATGTGTAACACTATAAATATGAACGTCTTAGATAGGTTATAAACTAATTGGCTACACCCAATACCCCCAAGCGATCGAAACTTTTGACACAAGAGTTAGATTATCATCGTGATTGTCAAAATAACTTTGTTTTAAGAAACTTTCGCCTATATCTATTTCTCCCCCACATGATAAAAATTGAAACATTTAGTTTGACCTCCTACAACGCCGGGTAGAAATATTTCTACCATATAATACACCTCACCAGCGTCTTGTCTTACAACAGTCTATATATTCTATATTGTCTTGTATTTCAGTGAATCAGTGGAAAGTGTTACTTATATTCACCTTTGTGGCTTCTCAGTGATCTGTAAACATATACAATGTTTATTTCTCTTCTTTTGTTTCCATTATGAGGCCCAGAAGATAATTCTTTGCAGGATAAATTTACATTTATAATATTCATTAATTGTAAAATGTGTTTATATATGACCATTCAAAACAAGAATGATAGTTACTTTTTAAAGATCTGTCTTACATAAATAAGTGGATGTCATTTTAATAGCAAATTAGTACTAAATGATTGATAGAGTAGTGTTTTTTTACATTTGATAATTAATTGCGCAAGATTAAAATCTTTATCATGTTTTTTGGTTAACCTGGTTTTTCTATTCACAGGTGACAGTATCAGTGTTTGGACACCCCAGGGACAGATTGGGTTCGATAACTATAATTTTGAAATTGGATTTTTTTAAATAATTTTATCGCTGGTTTTGTATTTGGTATCTTATAATAAGTCTTGGAGTGTTGAATTATTTTTTTCAGGGTTGTAGGAGGGGTCCAGGGACAGGGTTGGGGAGGGGTGTCCAAACACTGATACTGCCACCTGTGTTTCTACTTGGAGCGTTTCAGTTTCTGCAGGCGTTAAATACTTCACATCATTAGCTATTCTCACACTTTTAAAACGAAATAAGTAAAACATTTAGAGTAACCTTATTAAAATATGAATAACAAAGTAGATAAACAATGAAGACGGGCCATTACAGGCATGCTGTCTAAAAAAGAAAAGCATTTAGTTTAGTTATTTTAATAACTATAAACCAGCCCTCCATTGTTTTATTATAATCTCTCAGGTAAAATGTATGCTATCTATAGAGGATCTACCTACCGGGGGTCCTACATAAGACCAACCGAAAGAAATTGAAACACTATCTTTCAACCGATCACTTCACGTAAAGTGCTAATAGCTGTTTAATTGAAAAACGATATGAGAAAAATTGAAAGTGTTTATAACAAGTATAATTAGACAGATTATTACAATATATACAGAAAATCAAATGTATTATTAAATTGTCAATTTCAATGTAAATATAACCGTTTTTGAATGTTTGGGGAACCATTTAGTTTATAATAAATCACAATAATTTTAGATTTACATTGGTGATTCAGCAATACCTTACTACTTAGGACAAAAATGAAAAAAAAAATTGGTATTTGTAATAAATCGAGCGAAAGTTGTTGACACACTAAACGTTATCAGTGACGAACTAGCTTATTTTTGTAAGCAACACTGGCGGTTACTTTCTTTCTGTAATTCCTAATTGATTCATATCAAATATAATTATGATATTTTGTGACAGGCTATAATTTAGCTTTTATTCATACTACACAATTAATCAGATGTTTAATTATATAAAATGTAACTGAAATAGGTATACAACAATTATTATTTTTGAAAAATCATTGTAGTTTATTTATAACAAAATAACAAAGTTACAAATCAACGATTACGGGTCTTGAATTATGTATTCAATTGTTCATAAACAACGTTAATATATGTAATTTTAATGCAACAATACACTTTTAGGATTGCTTCAAATGATTGATTTGTTTGAATTTTACCGGTTATTTCCAAATTGAGTAGCATGTATATACAGGCTTGTTCTCTCTTGTTATCTATAAGAAGTTCCTGATACTGTGTAAATTAGAGCATAAGCTACGAGACTCAGTAGTTATAAAGGTATATCTTATGAAATGTTTAAAGATCATCAACGTGAAAATAATATTAATTTCATTATCTTATGGCCGATTCTTGAAATAGTTGTAACATAGAATGTTGGGGCGTCCGTGGCCGAGTGGTTAAGGTCTTTGACTTCAAACCATTTGCCCCTCACCGCTGCGTGTTCGAATCCCGACAGGGACTGTTCGAATCCCGACAGGGACATTGGATTTTTTCATGTGAGGAAGCTATCCAGCTAGCTTGCGGAACGTCGGTGGTTCTACTCAGGTGCCCGTTCGTGCCTGAAATAATGCACGGAAGGGCTCCTGAGGTCTTTCTCCACCAGTAAAGCTGGAACGTCGCGATATGACCTATACTGTGTCGATGTGACGTAAACCCAAAAACAAACAAACATAGAATGTAATACACATTGTACGTAAACAGAACATTATTCTGCTATTTAAAGAGATGAATCTGTTAAGCATTAATTTCGTACATGCGCCACTCGCTTTTAAGCTAATTTATTTCCATATTTAGTTCATACAAGCATATTAGAAGTAGTGTGTTTGTTTTTATTTAACCAATGATTTTTGCAGCAGATATATAGTCTTTTACACTTCAAGTCAATGAAAATTCGATCATATTTTTAAAGGAGCATACGTACTTTGTCAATACTAGGTAATATCAATAAATATCACTTACAGAAAGCAGATCTTAATACAAATCAACAAAATTTCAGTGTAATTTAAAACCACTTATAACATTATTGTAAGAAATAGTTTACTTATCTATCTTCATTGTAAGTATTTATATTAGCTTACACACCTTTGTTTTAATTGACACCGTTAAGTTCGCCTTGGACCAACTCGAAGACAAGGTGTAGCAGAATTGCTAAATGGCTACGAGTGTGAACCCATTAATGGCTTTTTGGAAGAGTGACTTGAATGGAATATTTTAGCGGCTATAACGATAACAAATCTAACTGAGATTGAATCTTTCAAAACCTAAATAGAACAGACTGTGCAACTCATTACAAAGCCCAAGCAACAAAAATGGTATTTAAAACAGAGAATGTCTTGATATAGTCTATATAATGCATAAAGGATTTATTCTATAACGGTGAAGACTATCTATGTTTTTATTGCCGTCCTATTAAATAAGCTTTTACTCGTTGCCTTATATAAACGTACAAATATAGTAAAAGTCGTGAAACGTTTGAAAATGTTGTTGCCAAGTTTTGTCTTTTCCCCCGTTATCTCATTCATGATGATAAGATCAACAACTATGTGTATAAGAGAACACAAAATCATCGTTTAACCTTGTTATTAAATGTAAAAAGAGGGCGACAGAACTTACAGTACAATAATACAAGATGAAACGATATATCATTTGACACGAGCCACTTTACTGACTCATTTAAATATAATACTGTAGCAAGTTACCTTTGATTAAGGGACACCAATAGTCATGTATAGAAAGGTACAATGATTTTCACGTGAGCGTTCAAGGGTAGTATTGCACGTGAAAAGGTTGTAGACACTTTCATCAAGATATTGTTAAACATGTCTCAACTGGTTGTCTGTAGAGATGGTTACAATAATAAGTTCATGTTTATATTATTAGTCATAGAAATAACTAAACACAATTCTTAAATGTTTAAATATTAATACTCAGATTAATGAACTCAGCTTAAAACAATGACAATGAAAAATAATGTCATAAAAGTCGCCATTTGGATAAGAAAATATATAGTTTATATTTGACAAGCAAGACAATACGTCACACATCCTAATAATTAAGCAACTGTTACATCATTTTTTTAATATTCAATTCCAATTCATCTATTATTATTTAGGCAAGGCTCAACACACAGCAATAGTGAAACTTACACATAGATACATAAGCAACCTGAAATTAAACATTTTAGTTATAAATCATCTGACATTTTAATGGCATGAAAGAGAAATGTGAATATAAATATCAATTCATAGATGAATATGCTTAATATATTAAAATCTAATTTTTACAAAAACAAATGAATAGAGAAATAAAAATAAAAAGAATACGGATAATTTTTAGCAAATATTTTAGCAAATATTTCTTTACGGCTTAAAAAAATAACTTACTACTCAGAGTTAAACAGTTTGTTAATTTGTTTCGTAAAAAGCAAAGAGATTTTGACCCCAAAACCCTTGACTTAGGGATAACAAAATGCACCTTTATCTCCCATTTCCTTTATGATTATATACACACAATAGTTAAGTACACGTGTTGTGTGACAGTAGCTATTTATTTTGACCCTACATTTTGATGGTCTCGATTCCTGTTTAAGCCGGTGCTAGGGGGTGTGAGAGATGTTGTGCTTTCCATTGTCTCTCATAGACAATTTCAATAAAACCAACTCTACGGGTTTCAACTATCTGTTTCTGCTCTGTTTCCTTGATCTCGGGGATCTCTTCTTTCCAGTTCTGTGTGAACTGTCCCGTGGAACATTAGGTTCTCCGAAACCTTACATAACCTCAGATAACCATAAAATATATATTAGAAAATTTACAAATAAATGCAATTGTTATTGACACTTTATGAGAACATAAATTATATAGACGTTACTTGTTAATATTGTTAATATTAAACAAAATATTGACATTGGGAATGTGAATAAGTAAATTACCCAAATCAAATATTTAATAGATAATCAATTGTGCCTGAAAGTCAACATTTCCTCCTCGGCAAGTTAAAGGTAGTTTCTTTTCTTTTCTTCTTTTAAATAAAAAAAGTTTAAAGGATATTTTAACATTGTTATTTACAGTCAGTTGTTCATAGTTTATTAATATGTTTAAAAAACGATAAAAAGATTATTCAAAGAGTTCTGATATTTTGGTAACAAGAAGCCAAACTATAAAACGTTGTATGTTGAAGGTATATAAAGAGGATTATTACAGTTTAAATTTAATTTAAGATGTCAAATAAGTACAAGTGTCAAAACAAGAACTAATATAACACATTGAACATGTTAAGTGTTACACAAAATTGCTACATCTCTTATCAGATATCATTGTAAAAGTCTGGTTAGTTACAGTATAGTCAAGGATGAAAGTGACTGAAAAGGGTCCTTAATAAAGAAAGCCGCCAACTTGATCATCAAGTCGCGACAAAATAAGAATTTGGGTGTTGATAAAAGCACTGATAAAGTGAAAATACGGCGACACTTTACATTGACATGGCCCCTTAGATAGATAGAAAACGGTTCGGATTACCTCGCGTATAACGGTAGAAACATTTCGTGATATTACTCATTTAAGATGATGAATGAGATGAAGCGAGTAAGCATTGGCGGGTTTCTTTGATTAGTGATGGGTTAATTGGAAACTACTGATTGAAGTTGTCACATCTCACTAGTTGAATATTTATTCTTTTTGCTCTGTCCTAACATTATTTACAGAAACTTTCTGCATTGATGTCCTTTAAATGACGTTACTTTTTAAAATTAAAGCCTTTTAACACCCATTCCTTTACTCAAAACCTCTATTCTGCACTTTATGTTTAGTATTTCATGTCAAACGAACATGGTTAATTCAAGTCATACATATATAAGAATATGATTATTCTATATATATAATACGAATTCGGTACTTCAGCAATTTTTATAAAAAAAAATGCGTCTAATATATAAATTGTTTCAAACAAACAATTATAAATTAACGATATATAACAAACACATAACATATTAAAATATTTGACAATTTTGCTTTTTAACCAGACGAGCACGCTAAGTTTTGTGCTTTAAACAATTATTATTATTATTATTATTATTATTATTATTATTATTATTATTATCATCATCATCATGATAATTATTATTATTATTATTAAATTAAAATGTTAGAAAGACAGAACGCTTTAATGAACAGTCGAAGTTTTATACAACAATTTCCATTGGTCAAAAATCTATATGAGTGTATTCCCCAACACTCATTGCTTAATTTTAATATCTTACTTGAAAAAAAAGATAAAAAAATGTTATTTTATTTTACGTATATCGTCCAGGTATTTGAAATAAAATTGAATTACTATTGTGTTCAATTGTTGTGAACTGTATAAACATACTACACGAAATTCCACTTATACGACAATGGTGTGGTATTTTTTGTTTTTTGATTAGAATATTTGTATGTGTTTATGTCGTTTATGTATATATCATTTGTAACTTTAAAAACAATTTACATTACTTTATATATTAACCAAATTTTTATGTACAGTAAGCAAAATACGTGCTTTACAATAGTTATGTATTTGAATTTTGTTGTGTTATTATAACATCTATTTTACTTATACTAACAATGTTAATAGTTTACATTTATCTTAGAAAGAAATGTTTAAAATAGCATCGTATTAGGCAGACCTTCAGCAAAAGCTACAAGTGCGTCTTTATCTAACATTTGAAATACAAGAAAACAATAATTAAAAATATTAGAATTTCATTTTAATCACATAAAATGTTTATATTGATTATAAACAGACGGCAGTTGTTCTGCAAAGTAAATTATGTTACTTGTTGTTAAGAAGTCTCGGATAATATGATAAATTTGACATATTAAACTAAATTATTTTACTATATTTTAAGACAAAATAACTATTACTCTCTCCTACAGGTACACGTAATAGTGTCACTCATTTCTTTCTGCCAATGAGAATTTCCCTCCGTACAAAAGACAAGTATCATATTGCAAAAAGGGGTTGGATTTCTCAATAGTCGTATATAACACACACTATTGTAGGAAAATCATTCACTTACATTTGTCGACGGAGGCTACTCGCTTGTCATAGAATAAACATTTTTTTCTCAACTGTTAATCTGTTAATATCACAATGACTAACACTGTGGATGACGATAGAATAACTGGAGGTGATAATCTGCCTGTTACTACAGCTGCTGTTACTATTCCAGGACCATTATTTCTACGTACTGTTGATCGATATCCTAGAACACCAAAATGTGCTCGATGCAGGAACCACGGCGTTGTTTCAGCATTAAAAGGACATAAACGTTATTGTCGCTGGAGAGATTGTGTTTGCGCGAAATGCACGTTGATTTCTGAGCGTCAGAGAGTAATGGCGGCCCAGGTTGCCCTAAGACGTCAGCAGGCACAAGAAGAGACTGAAGTTCGGGAGATGGGGTATCTTTATGCGTCACAAAGTAACAGTATTCCACAAGGACTGGAGACGACAGGGTCGATTTACCCAGAGAGTAGAGTCCGGGCTGGCTCAACAGGCAGTTACAGTGATTCTAGCGACAACGAACAACCTCCTCGTAAGTTTTTATGTTTAATGTTAAATTGTATGCAATAACTAGTTCTTTATTTGATCAAAATATCATTAACAGTGCATATAATAATTAGTTCCTTATTTGATGAAAATATCATTAACGTACATCTGAACATTACTTTAAATTAACACTTTTAAATGTTAAAGCGTCTTTGTTAACTTATATAATTATTACCTATAATTATTAAACATACATTATCCTAACAAACTACGTGTGTTTGTATGTTTTATATTCATCTATGACATTGCATTTTTTTTTATCAAATGTGTGCATGTTTTGAGTATCAATTACTTATTATTCTTTTATTATATTTTACAGCAGCGAAACGAATGCGTATTGAAGACAGTTATACAACAGCATTAGGAATGGCATTACGTGACACCGCTCACAGTCCAGATAGTCGAGGGTCAGTGTCACCACATAGTACCACATCTTCTTCTGAATCTCCAGTACCAGAAACGTTCAATCTACACAGCAACCCAGAAGACAGTCAAGACGGACTGAACAAATCTATGGACATGCTACGTCGCATTTTTCCTCATATGAAAAGACACGTATTGCAGTTAATTCTCCACGGTTGCCAGGGAGACGTAGTTCAGGCGATCGACCAAATATTTAACTCACAGTCAGAATCTGACCATCTTTCTAAAAGATCAGAACCGGTACCCGCGTTTATTGCGGCACCAACATATCCTCCAACCACCATAGACAGTTCAATTAAATCTGCATTTACACCAAGAAGCATTTCAGGATTAGCGGCTTCGCAAACCTTAAGTTCGCTGCGATATACATGGGGTGGGATTCCCACACATGGACTCTTTACAACGCCGTATCAGTCAATGTTACCAAGTATAGCTTCGGGCTACCATCCTTACTCCGGACTTCCACAATCCTCCGGACTACCACAGTCCCCGCCGGTGTCTAAACCAGTTATGTACTCCTCCTACCCGTTTTCACACTTTACACAGGACAGACCCACAGAGTCTAGATAAATGAACAAAAACTTTACGTCACGGTGACATTTTAAAGTGGTGTTTAAAATATAAATAAAATGCTTATAAAGTGAACTTATTATGATGATTGTACAATGCTGGCAGAGACAGATATTATAGTTAATGTCAAATCTGGGACATAATATTACATGTGAATTGTACAGTTTATTGCTAAAATACTAGTGCATTTGTCAAGGGAAACAATAAATAACTTTATTGAAATAGAAATATATTCTGTAAATCATTCAGTTTTGCATTTCTTCACAATTGTGATAAATTACATTAATAAACGAAGATATTATTTGATATCGAATTGTATACTGTCTATTATTTATGTAATATCTTTAATTAGATAAGTAAAAAAATTATGTACAAGTTATAACAAAATATTATGATGTACGTTTTCATAACTACCATTAAAAATCTGCTCAAATGTCATGTTATAATAAATTATTTCAAAACTTATATGATGTTTTTCTATATAATCTGTTATTGATGGTATAACAGTAGAGTATATGTAAGATCCCTTTCCCAATATCACATCACTTAGATATATCTATGTCAAAAATGGGTAAATGGTGTAACAGTTAGGTGAGTGACATGTAATGAGGCATTATAGGATGCAAACATGATAGTAAAGTGTTCTAAATGTGAAATAGTCGACTAGCATAAATGTTTTAGATGTCATTTGAAACTCAGCAAATGTGCCTCCTACCCCACTCCCCATCTGATCATAGGATATAAACAAACTTTTACCGTTATATATCTTCACTGTTTTCAATAGAGCGGCCAACGTGTTGAACTTATTATCAACAACAACAACAACAACAACAACAATCACTTTTATTAGAAGCCACGTCACAATAGTAACAATATGACTGATTAACATAAAATAAAGAGTGGGTAACATGATACATAATACAAATTCTACTTTAAACTTTTTTCATCACATGGGGACAGTAATTATATTGTCAAAACTGCTGAAATGTTGTTTATGTTTCCAAATATACATTTATGATTAACTGATAAATAGTAAGTACATGAACATACATGTATGTAATACAATATATATGTTTACTTCTAGAAAAGGTGTAACAAAAGAGTAGTAGAGCATTATGATACTAAAAAAATAAAAAAAATTTAACACATTTTGTTATTATTTCTTCTATAAATTGTATAGTTATTTATCAAATTATCATACATACTAATGTAAACTAATGCAAAGGAATATCAGGTGGCGTGAGAAAATACTAATATGTCATTACAGGTGCACGCTTTTCACGTACCTAGACAATACTACGATATTGCAAATATTTACAACCGCTAAGAAAGGCTATGAATATTAAATCGTTCGTTACTAAGAGAGTCAGGGAGCAATATATGAAAATGAGGAAGAACTTGAATTCATTTGAAGTTAACTTAGAAAATCGTTAGGCCTGTCTTGTTCTAGCTATTAGTCTTAAAATGTTCAATAATAGAACGTGCTAAAAATACAATATTTTTAAGAAGATCAAAATTTTCTGTTGATAATAATTCCTTAAATTTTAACACGTTTGGTCTACTGAAAAAGTAAGTTGGGATGTATCGCTTTCTTTGAAAACAGAAAAAAGGACACACTAACATATAGTGAAATTCATCACCGACTTCACCGACTTCATTTAACATATATCACTTTATTTATTAAATTGTAACTATTAAAGTTTGTTTCTACCCTGGAATTAGCCTGGAAAATATCAGATTTGCATAGATCTGGAGTATCTCTAATGTCAATGTAAAATAAGTTCTTTTAAAGCAAACTGTCGACTTTCAAATATCTTTAAGATCCAGCGGGCATTTATATACAATATTTATATACAATGCCAGGTGCTTTCTAACAGCATGATATATAATATATTTCCCGTTAATAGTCTCGGGGTTAGAGGGTTATGGTCAGTTTATCAATAGATCCACCAAAACAATGTACATGTATATAGAAGATCTGGTAACATCGTAATAGCAGTGCGAAATCTGTATTGTTTTAAAGCCTAATAGACTTCAAAAATGATATTATCATTATTTCTCAAATGCTTTTTTTAGTCTTAATACGCTTTCCGACAAAGAACGAACTCTTGTGTCATGTAGCTGAACAATATTTTATTATTCTGTTGGTATTCAGTTCAGTTATATAATTATAGTGATTAATTTAAGTATTTTGTATGGAAGTTAAAAAACACCGTCTATACATTTTACTACTTTAATTGCAAATTAATGCTCATCCAGCGCTACTTTTTACCAGTTAGCAAAACTTTCTTAATTCATTCGTATTAAAAAATAAATTATGCAATCATGTGGTTTTAACACAATCTGAGCAGAATGCGTTTTTAATTGTAAGCGCTATTTTTAACTATAAAATATTTTAAGAAATTAATGTAAATGATACAAAAGCCAACCCTTTAAATAACTTTATAAATTGCCTGAAAGAATTTAATGATGACAGCGTCAAATTGATAACATATTAGTATAATTCAAGGATCATCTCACATAATTGTTACTCATTATATAGCAATACATGTATTCGCAAATCTTAAAAATCTGAATAAGAAAGGAAATTTCATAAAGAAATGTAATTATTCAAATTTTGATGCCTATTCAGTTTGATAAGTTTGCATGTTTAAGATTACAGTATGTGTAAATCTTGACGTCATCTAAATCAGTGTTGATGGTTAGTATTGCCAATTTTAGTTGCAAAGTTTTGGAGCTGTAATGTTTTTCCCCTTTTAACATCTTTAAGTTATCTCGTATTATTGTATCGTCCTGTCTATAAAACACCTAACAACAGCATATCCCAGTTTATGTTATAACCAGCCTTACACAACAGCATGCTTCTGTATGATCACTATGATTCATCCGTTTATACATTCACAAATTTAAGTCTATCCGATGTGAGTGCCGAGAATGGAATAGAATAGAAATTGTTTTAGTGTGCCAGTGCTGACCGAGACTACAAGATACAAGATGCAAGAAACTTTATTTTAAGTCGGTTTACATATTACAATAAACATTAGCTAATAAGCTATTTATCGACAGTAACAAAGGCATATAACATATTTACTAACATATAACAGTTCTGAAAATAAAAACATATAAAACTATTAGCAGCTTTAAGCATGAAATAAAAATATCAATGTTAAGAAGAACTTTACAATAAGATGGTAAATTAAGGCATAGTTTGATGACATGCACAGTACATATTGTATTAAAGGTAATAACAGTTTCTAAAAGTAATAAATGACTGTAGTCTAGAAATTAAAGTATGATACATATAGCAATGTGAAATAAAAATAATAATAAAACATAAAAATTTAATAAAATAGTAATAGTTTTAAGTTAACATCTACAATTTATAAATACGTAATTGAAGGTTTCCTAAAAAATAAATAAATCAATAAATAAATAGATAAATAAATAAAACTTACTTATAAAAGTGCATACAAATTTATGATAGAACTAATACAGCATAAAAAGAAACAAGATAAAGCACATACCGGGTAACAAACAAAGTTAACTAAAATTAAGTTGCATGCACAGCCTAATGGAATGGGGAATAAGGAGTTTTAATATGAACAAAGCATACAGATCATACAACAAAGACTCAACTAGCATAAATATAGGGTTTAAGGAAAATTAACACACAGCATATAATCAAAGCATCATAGAAAACTAAAAAGGGATGCACAAAAGCAAAGCAAACAAACAAAACATGTAGTCTAAGCTGATATGGTAAAAGAAATTTTCAAGTATTGAAGCAATTCTATCATTCGCGTAAACTCTTTCCTTTTTTTTTGCATTCTCGATGAATGAATGAATGAATGGATGATTGAATAAATGAATGAATGAATGAATGAATGAATGAATGAATGAATGAATGAATGAATGAATGAAGGAAGGAAGGAATGAAGGAACGAACGAACGAACGAACGAACGGGCGGACTGACTGACTGACTGACGGACGGACGGACGGACGGACGGACGAAAGAACGAATGAATGTAGGAAAACTATGTATTTATAATTGAAAATTAAGCTCTTGAAAATGCTTTGACTCATTAATAACCTTATGTGGAAAATATATTCGTGTTAATCGTGTATTACAAAACTGGTAACAGTTCTATGTTATAAACTTTGAACATGTACGATTTTTATTATGTATTAGAATTCTTATTTGAAAATCCTCAAATTAAATCATTTCAAACGAATTTAATCTTTAAAACATGATAGAAAGTCTTATCGGCTCCGTCACATAAATATAGTGGCTTATGATCGAATATAAAGTGAAAACTATGACCTGCATTTTTTATGAGGAACATAAATTTACTTTTAGACGCTTGCCATATTAGTTTCGTAATAAGCGTTTTACTAATTCAGATTGCATATTTCGTTCTCAAGGAAAACAATTTTCCAAAATAAAAATGTTTGACGTTGGACATAGAGGTGGAGGAGCTAGTATTGTTTTAGCAACATCAAATGATCAAAAACACCCTCCAGAAAACATGATCGACGGGTAAAGTAGCATAATTTATTTCATTTTTGTGAATTTCTCAGAAATTATTAAAATTTCAAAATTCATTGAACAGTTGAAAAAAAAACAACAAAGTAGAATTTTTGACTTCCATTCAAAATACTTAATCACTATATTTTTTTTTAATTTCCAAAGTTTAACAGAAGCAAAAGATGGCCAGGTAATTGGCTAATGAGTAGCACTGTTTAACATGACACATCAAATATTTAATTTTTTTAAAAATATTTTTACATTTTTCGTTTTAAAATGTTATTCAGTATTTCATGCACCACTTCTGTTTTCAATTAGAATACATCGGCAATTATTGCTGAGCCGAAAAGTTAACATTTCTCATTGGGTTACATTAAGATAATGCAAAGAATCGGAGTCAGCTCGGCCCTAAAACGTACTCGGCCCTTTTCCAACTCGGCACGGGTCAACTCGGCCAACTTTTCATTTTTATATATTAATATGTTGATTTGTTTTATGACTCAATATTGTCGGAATAATTTATATATGGACTAATTCACAAACATGGAAAGATGTTTTCTTAAATTATTAACATATGCTATTATTACCAATCAACCATGTGTATGTTCAGGGAAAGGTGCCGATTAATCAGGTGATAATTATGTTTGACACAATCATTCAAATTTGATAAATGACCGCCTGCAAATAAGTAGAAACTTATGATAATAAATAAACGCGTTTTTATTTCATATTTTATTGAAGATTACTAAACAAACAAAAAGTATCAAAGGAAACACATTTGTATTAAATCAATTTTTAATGAATCTGCAAGAAAAAACATAATGAATTTCTTCTAAATATAATATACTTTATTTCTGCAGAAGTAATATGTACAATTATATATTTATAAACAAGATATCTCTTATTTGTCGTCAATTTGATAACATCTTTTGGCCTTGACAACATCCAAGTAATTGAAAAAAAGTTAATACATTTAATGTTGTTTTTTTTAAAGAGGGCCGAGTTGACCTGTGCCGAGTTGACCCTTGCCGAGTTGGTATAAGGCCGAGTTGACTCTTTACCAGCGCAACGGCAACACAAAATGATACTGAAAATTTCACTTTTTTTTGTATTTTTACATGTATCTGACTTATATTTGATAATGACTAATATGATTACAAGATTCAAGTCAAGTCACGTAAATTTTATTTTTAGTCGGATACAATTATTGTTACAATAAACATTGACCGTTACAACTTTAATTTAAGTTTGTATACAAATTAAAAGAAACATTAGCTAATAAGCTATATGCCGGCAATTACAGAAACATAAAACATATTTACTAACATACAAGTTACAAATCTGAGAAGATACATATTAATCTGTATGAACAGTAAAGAAAACAATATCACATGATTTTGACTTTTAATAATTATTATTTTATTTTTTTTTATTAATAGGGGTGATTTCCTGACTTTTTTCTATTTATGATAAAGTAGATAAATAAAGTTGAATAAGTAGGCAGAAACTCGTAGAACTAAATAACCTATGTTTGACCTAAATTTAAAAAAATCACAAGCAATCACATTTGTCTATTCATATACATGTACATTGTTTCATATGAAAATATTGTTTTGTTTATGTTAAGAGTTAAGAATTTAATCTCTGTGCTGATTTATTGTTATAGTACTGTATGTTAATTAGTGTATATGTGTACTTCCCTTAGTGATTTGAGACAACTCATTTTGGTGGGAAATAATGATGCTTGTATTACCCTAATATTAACCCTGTTTATCTTTGTAGTAAGATTATATAAGTACCAGATTTACTTTAATACAGAAAGTGTTCTTTTTATATTTCAGGAGTGAAGAAACATTCTGGACATCAACAGGGTTATATCCACAAGAATTTATCATGGGATTTGGACATATGATGGACATACAGAGGGTTAACTTGTCCAGTTATAATAGTAAGTGAAAATATCACACATGTATATACATGTATATCATACAATGAGTCTAACAATTGAAGCAGCCAGTTCCTGTATTTTCCAGTAACATTTACCACTTGAGCATAGCATATTTATAATTTTATTTGGTAATAACCATTCTTTGACTTATTTTGGGGTTTCCTAGCTTATTGGGAGGGGGGGGGGGGTACAAAGGTACAAACAAACTTTTACAGTTACAGATTCTAAAATAAGAGCAATAGGTTGACCATTTAATTATTGTAAATGGTAGTGCACTGTGAAGCTATAATGGTAAAAGTTTGTACTAGGGGATTAGTTTGGAAAAATCCTCATTTGGTCTGAAAGAAAATTCTTGAAATACTGTTTGCTTGTCTGAATCTTGTGGTTATTTTAACATGTTTTGTTTGATCATATCTCAGTGTACTGTTCACCTAACCAGCTTATCTGGATTACGTTCCAGTAATTAACAATTTCTCTGCAAGTGTCTAACTACTAAAATCCCACATGATTTCTGAATCAGCAGTAAGAGGAGAAAAATGGCCATTACACTTAATGTCCAAAATCCATTGCCACTTGTCCAAATATCAAACCAGTGATCCTAGGATTACAAATCTGATGCTCTCACTATTAAGCTAAACATGCAGACTTCATGAAATAGACATGGTGTCTTGAAATAAATAGTGTTTGACAAATAAGTATAGAATAAAATGTAAGTGCAGTCAATGGTGATTTAGTATAATTATATTATGCAGTAAATTTATCAAATTGTAACACAGTTGCATGTCTATTACTGTTAACTTGAAGATTGAGATATGAACAAGACATCAACTGATTGCTGTACATTTGATATTGATCAAATAAAGTAATAATTGTTACAGTGTTTATGTTATTAAGATACTAGATTATCTTGTATTACAGTACGACATATACAGGTAGAGAAATGTACATCACAGGATCCTACATCATTTGAGCCGCTTGTTGATCGAGGTAACATCATCTTTATATAACATTCTCATTTTAACTTTCTTGGAAAAAAATGTATCTAGATAAAGTGTTTTTCTGTACTTCACACAATTTGGTAAATTGTTAATATATTTTGCTTTGATGATTTTTGTTAATTTAACAAGATCACAGTGTATAAACAAGTCTACCTCCTGTTTACACAAGTAAGGTACAAGTGAAAATATAAAGGCTCCCCAAGTAGGGTACAGAGATCAGAAGTAACATGTACTTTTACTCGCAAGACAGGGTACACATTGAATTATATATAGGCTCACAAGACAGGGTACAGTGATTTTGTTTATGATATACTGTGAAGATTGAATGGCATTCTTGTTTTAAATGTGTTAACATTTATATTTCAGACCTTCCACAGACAGACGGACAGCTACAACATGAAGATATAGATATTAAAACACAAGCCACCTATCTGAGGTTTATCATAGATTCTGGTTATGATCATTTCTGTGCTGTTCACAAACTCAATATTTCTGGGAACGCCCTACATGGATAGTTAACTCAATATTATAATACCATCACAGAATAATTGTAAAATCTCCTCATGTTACATGTATGTGAAAATATTATAGCTGATTTATTTTACAAGTTGATGTTCAAGTCTTCAACTTTAAGCTATTATAAATGAAATGCTTCACTTGGTTAATTTTCAATCCCCTCGCCAAATGTGAAGGGGATATTAGAAAAAGTCTCTGTCCGTGTGTCTGTCCAAATTTTGTCCAGGGTCTAACTTCAAAATGCCTTGATCATTTTTCTTCAAATTTCATACACTGACACAGTGGTAGAAAGTGCACTGTGCAAGAACAATAGTTCTACATGAGTTATTCGCCTTTATAGATTTACTTAAAAAACTTAACTTTTGTAGTAAGGGATTTTCTTGAAACTTAAACCACTGACATAGCACATTGGTAGGAAGTGCACTGTGCAAGAACTGTTAATCTATTTTGCATGCTTTTAGAGTTATTCCCTTTTATCAAATTTACTTTTAAAGTTTTGTCCAGAGCATAACTCCAAAAGTACATCAGGGATTTTTTTTCCAGTTTAATACACTGGCATAGCACATTAATAAAAGATGCATTGCACAAGAACAATAATTTATTGATGATACAACAGTTGATCACATTCATGTTCCTTGTGAATAAAGATTGTGTTTTTGATGTCATGTCTATACCATACACAGATTATCAGTATGACCGTAACTAGGATTTCCTCTCACCAAGTTAAATGTACAAAAGTACAAACTTCAAGAAACTTCTTTCAGGCGAGGGGATTAGCCATATAACATTGTTAATGATATATTCCACTGTATATCATTTATAAAGCTAAATTGCTTCTCATCAGTGAGCATTTATATAATACTTGTATTGTTGTTTTTATTTTTATGTACTGAAAAACTGCCATTGAAGAAAACTTAGTAATTTGTTTTTATCCTATATTCTGATACATCTTTTCAAATCTGAAAAGTATTCTTTGTGATTTTTTTCTATAACTTATTGATGACTAGAAAGCTATGTGTAATTAAATGTTAGTTAAGAATTACAATAAAACAAAATATAAACTTAATTGAGATAATACTGATTGTGTGACAACTTTTGTGTTGAACAATGTAATGTTGTATTTATTTTGACGTTGATATTTATTTTAAAACAAAATAAACCCAGACATACTTTGTATTAGTTAGAGGTAAGGATATGAACAGTTAATTAAATCAGTTATTTAGATTTTCATATTACTGTTGACATGCTAAATTATTATTATCAAACTCGTGTTAACATTCCGTCCAAATAAAATATTGTAAAAATTGTCAGAGTTTGTCTTGTTCATCAAAAAACAATTGCTTGAAAACTTACATGTATTAAATAACCAAAACTCTATTTCTGGAACTTGAAATTTTATATGACAGTTATTATGTCATTGAAGGTCAAGGTCACATTGGAAGTTATCATCATGCCGGTTTTGTCATAACTGCTTTTTTGTCCAAGAATGAATCACATCAGTAAAAGTTTTGACAATTTAAGCAAAATTCAATAATTGGACCCTAAATTACAGTTAATATGATGTGAAGGAAGTAAAAAGTAATATATAAAAAAACAAAAACAAAATTTGTACATTATCAGTTTTATAAATCATCAACGTCTACAGTACAGAGATTTAAGAAACGTTGGAGTGAAATTATAAAATAAACTTCTTAAAACTTGACTGGTAAAATCAACTATCCCAAAAGATATGCATACTAGATAAAATGTAATGAGGACACAGGCAACACCCATAATGAAACAGAGAAGCTCATTTGGTCTTCTGATAACATGTTTATTAGAAAGTCATCTAATTAGTGAACGAGATAACTGTAACATTAGGGTAAACATGAATTATCTATTTGTGAACTTGTTCTACATACGTATTAACGCCTTTATGGTGAAAGGGAGGTAACAAAAGCTTATAAACTGTACAACATGTTTTGAGTGATACGTACGTTCTTTGTTATATTGATTAAGCAACAAACTTCTATAACAATGCTTTAAAAAGATGCCCGTTCTTACTTCTTGGCTAAAGTTATTTAAAATTATTATATATCAAATAAATCTAACCAATCGTCAATTGGCATTTGTACCTCGTGACCGTCCAATATATTCCCGTATTGGATCCAAAAAATATATTTTCATATTTGACGGTTTGGTACATGCGCACTAAACGACCATGCATATATTTTGACGTGACGTCATTTGCGTTATAATTAACATAGCGTTGAGACACGCTAAATGTTATACTATGTATATGTTAGTGTTCATCCGAGCTGTTCTACAGAAATTAGAAACTTCGACAGGAGCTATAGCGACAGGAGAATGTTTCTAATTTCTGTAGAACAGCTAAGGATGAATACTGACATACTTACTGTCGATTCAAATATGATCGAGAATGGGAAATCTTATATTTAAAAGTACATAGGGGTGGCAGGAAAAAAGCCATACACGAAACCACGTTACCAGAAAAACAGGTGGTTGAATATTATCTGGCTTGATAGTGTAGATAGTGATAGTGTAACGCAGAAGGGGGTTATACATTTTATGTTCGTGAAGTTGGCAGCCTAGCAGCTTAGCAGCCTGAAGTTGGCAGCCTAGCAGCCCAGCAGCCTAGCAGCCTGAAGTTGGCAGCCTAGCAGCCTGGCAGCCTAGCAGTCTAGCAGCCTGGAAGCCTAGCAGCCTAAAGAAAACTAAGAATAGTACAAAAATGAAAGCGTCGGAAATACATTAGTAGCACTTCTTTAGATCATTCCACGCCTTTTTCAATATCGTGATCTTTATTTTTTTAAGATCTTGAACTTTATCTTAACATAAATTTTTCATTCTGACGCTTCGAAATTTGTGAAGTCAGCAGTCTAGCAGGATAGTACAAACATGAAAACCGTCGGAAATAAATCGGTAGCAAATACTTAGACCATTCCACGTCTTATTTCAGTATCGCGTACTTCATTTTTTTTAAATAATAAACTTTGTTGTTGTTTTTTTTTATTTTGACACTTCGAATTTTGTGAAGTTAGCAGCCTAGCAGCCTGGCAGCATGACAGCCTAACAGCCTAGCAGCCTGGCAGCCTAGCAACCTAACAGCCTGGCAGCCTTACAGCCTAAAGAAAACTTAGGATAATACAAACATGAAAACCGTCGGATATGAATCGGTAGCACATATTTAGACAATTCCACGTCTTTTTTAATATAACGATCTTTATTATTTTAAATATTGAACTGTGTTTTTTTTTGTTTTTTTTTTACACTTCGAAATTTGTGAAGATAGCAGCCTAACAGCCTGGCAGCCTATCAGCCTAGCAGCCTAAAGAAAACTAAGGATAATACAATCATGGAAACAGTCGGAAATGAATCGGTAGCACATACTTGGACCATTCCACGTCTTATTTCAGTATCGCGATCTTTATTTTTTTTAAATATTGAACTTTATTTTATTTTTCATTGTGACGCTTCGAAATTTGCGGAATTAAACATGTTTTCGAATAACGTAGGAATTAGTCTTAGTCTTAGAACATTTTCTCGGCTAATAATGTCGCTGTCTATGCACAATAAGTGATGTCATGTGAGTTATTTATGAAATGCTATTTTGTATGTATATATGTTTATAATGAAGTTGATGTTGTTCAACGCATATTTATTTTAGGTCTGTAAAGATAGAAAATGTGTTGAAATGTAAAGAGATATACAATGGAACACATAAATGAACATAAAGATTATCTGAACTTAAGAGCAATACCCATTTGATCAATAGTTGCCACATCCAACTCGCCAATTTATTAAATACATGTTGTTTTCATGGATCTATTAAAGATGTTTAAAAGGTGATTGCTCCATATATGAATATGTGATTCCTTTACTCTGACTCCAGTTTATAGACTTATTCGTCACCGTTTTCCGGTATGTTACGGGTTTACCTCTGGGGAATTACACCAAATGAAGTACGTACGCACTGTTACATTTTTACTTTTCTATCATTATTTCGCCGTGTAAGGTGAAAAAGTTTCACGTGTTTGAAAATTATCAATGTTTTTTTAACATTTATTGCAAATTTTTATAAAAATTGAATTCTTTATAATGAAATTCAATGAAATTAAAAAAGTCGTTGTGGCATCTTCCAAAATAAATAACGAGAGATGTTTTGTGATTAAACTTGTGTATTTTACTTTATTTTTGTATAGAATTATACCTACAATGATAATTTATTATTTTCCTACATAGTAGTATCTGTTAATTCAATAACGACCAAAAACGAAGAATTCGTTATTACACTCCATTAGCGGATTCCCACAAGTATGTAAAGAAAGTACCGGAAAACGGCGTTTAGCTAGGTTTTCGAATTCGTGAATGTTTGCCGCTAAAGGAATTTAATTTAAACTTAATGTTAGAAAGTTTCTATAGGCTATTTCGAAATGCATTTCTTTTATTATTCATACTATTTCGCAATCAATCTTCACCTCTTCGTCTATATAATTATGAAGATGCGCAGATCTTCATCTAAATATGAAAGTGCGTGAAGTACAGTAAACTTTGAGAAAAACTCTAAAAAATATAGCCCAGTAGGACACATGAGACATACTCGACAGAGTCCAGTCTATCGGGGACCAATCGGAACGTCCTCGGCTATTATCTATAATAATATCAAAGGGCCGAAAAGTTGCAATTGATCGGAGACAGTGTACCTGCCTGGAAAAGAAAAAAAAAAAAAACAAAAAAAAAAAAAAACAACAAAAAAACAAAAAAACAAACAAAGTTCAATAATTTAAAAAAAATAAAAATCGCGATACTGAAATAAGACATGGAATGGTCTAAGTATGTACTACCGATTCATTTCTGACGGTGTTCATGTTTGTATTATCCTTAGTTTTCTTTAGGATGCTAGGCTGCCAGGCTGCTAGGCTGTTAGGCTGCCAGGCTGCTAACTTCACAAATTTCGAAGTGTCAAAAAAAAACAACAACACAGTTCAATATTTAAAAAAATAAAGATCGCGATACTGAAATAAGACGTGGAATGGACTAAATGTGTGCTTCCGATTCATTTCCGACGGTTTTCATGTTTGTATTATCCTTAGTTTTCATAAGGCTGCTAGGCTGCCAGGCTGCTAACTTCACAAATTTCGAAGTGTCAAAAAAACAAAACAAAAAAAAACAAACAAAAAAAGTTCAATATTTAAAAAATAAAGATCGCGATACTGAAATAAGACGTGGAATGGTCTAAGTATGTGCTACCAATTCATTTCCGACGGTTTGCATGTTTGTATTATCCTTAGTTTTCTTTAAGCTGCTAGGCTGCCAGGCTGCTAGGCTGCTAACTTCACAAAATTCGAAGTGTCAAAAAAAAACAAAAAAAAAAACAAAGTTCAATATTTAAAAAATAAAGATCGCCATACTGAAATAAGACTTTGAATAGTCTAAGTATGTGCTACCAATTCATATCCGACGGTTTTCATGTTTGTATTATCCTTAGTTTTCTTTAGGCTGCTAGGCTGCCAGGCTGTTAGGCTGCTAACTTCACAAATTTTGAAGTGTCAAAAAAAAAAAGAAAAGAAAAACAACAAAAAACAAAGTTCAATATTTAAATTTAACTAATTTAATTATTTAAAAAAAATGAAGTACGCGATACTGAAATTAGACGAATGGTCTTAGTATTTGCTGCCGATTCATTTCCGACGGTTTTCATGTTTGTACTATCCTGCTAGTCTGCTAACTTCACAAAATTTCGAAGCGTCAGAATGAAAAGATTATGTTAAGATAAAGTTCAACATCTTAAAAAAATAAAGGTCACGATATTGAAAAAGTCGTTGAATGATCTAAAGAAGTGCTACTAATGTATATGTTTGTACTATTCTTAGTTTTCTTTAGGCTGCCAGGCTGCTAGGCTGCTAGGCTGCCAACTTCAGGCTGCTAGGCTGCTGGGCTGCCAACTTCACGAACATATACATTTTGCATTTTATTATTTATTTTTTTACTTTCTATTTTAGATACCTGTATAGATATTTTCCAAGTTTTTATTCACAAGAATGCTATAGCATATATAATAAGTAACAATTCAACAATTCAAACAATGCCTTCAACCTCAGTGGCACTCTCAATCGCACTGCCGCTGGCCTGTTCGTCTCCTGTGCCAAGAGAGTACATTGTACCTCAATAGGTGATTACCACGGAGAAATGAATGGCGAGGTTTTCATTAAGTAGTTTTATCAAATTTAAAGCTAATCCCTAATCTTCCAGCACACACCGTCGTGGTAATAGACAATGCACCTTAACACTTTTGCAATTACAAGTTTCTAACGTAGTAGAGTACTAAGTGTGATGAGTCCCTCTAACAGCGCCATAACATACAACTCAACCAAACCAAATGTCACTTGTAGCACAAAAGCTCAATTGAATTGTATTAAACATGAGATTTCGTATTTGGCTGAAATGATTGATTCTTATTATAACTTTTACTTATAAGATACTATTAGTTTCGTCTTTTCGAGACGGTCTGTTTATCTTGTTATTTATATGCATGACACAATTTGAGAAGTACCCTTGTATTGAAAGAAATTTAGTGTCCAGCTTTATTTGTCATCCAATGAAAACACTTCATTTCTTAAATATTATGTGTGTTAATTTTCATAGAAGAAAAAAAGTCGATACTATATTGAAATCCGTTCATAGTCGCCTTCTATTTTTCATAGTGCTTCATATAGTACCGCGTAGTGACGTAATGAAGGGCCAAATAAAGCTTGACACTAAATATGTTAGTGTTCATCCTTTGCTGTTCTACAGAAATTAGAAACATTCTCCTGTCGCTATCGCTCCCGTCGAAGTTTCTAATTTCTGTAGAATAGCACGGATGAACACTAACATATACATAGTATTAAAAAAAGGAAATGCTGAGAAGACCAGCGCGCTACCACTACACTACAATGTCTCACTGCAAATAGTATGACTAACAAAAAGTACAATACTACCCATACACACATGACTTACCTTTTCTGAAGTGCACTGATCCATGTTATGTTTACAACGGTTCCGAAATAAATTAACTTCAACAGTAGTGTCAAGCTTTATTTGGCCTCATTCTTATTTACTTTATTACGCCACTATGCGGTTTTATGAAGAACTATGAAAAATAGAAGTCGTCGATATTGTAGATCTATCGGTTTTTGTTCTTCTATGGAAATTAACGCAGATATTTTTTAAGAAATACAGCGTTTTCATTGGATGACAAATAAAGCTGGACACTTATGTTAATGTGATAATTGAGATAAGGAGTGTCAATGTGATATTTTTCGAATTAACTGTTATGTATATGTTAGTGTTCATCCGTGCTGTTCTACAGAAATTAGAAACGTCGACGGGAGCGATAGCGACAGGAGAATGTTTCTAATTTCTGTAGAACAGCTAAGGATGAACACTAACATATTTAGTGTCAAGCTTTATTTGGCCCTTGATTACGTCACAACGCAGTACTATGAAGCACTATGAAAAATAGAAGGCGACTATGAACGGATTTCAATATAGTATCGACTTTTTTTCTTCTATGAAAATTAACACACATAATTTTTAAGAAATACAGCGTTTTCATTGGATGACAAATAAAGCTGGACACTAAATAATTATGATGTTAACTAATCAAACTGGATTATTTTGATTTAAAAATAGCTTAATTATAAGGTTGTATGAAGTTGACCTTTTCAATGTTTTTTTCTTAGTCGAACTTTGTTTATTGTTTACGTCAGCCATAAACATCTTTTTATTGGTCGCTTCTGATTTTGGCGGTAAATATTTTTGTCCATTTATTTCCTGACAACATTTTGGTCATTCTGTATTTCGTTGACTTAGAGATCACATGTTTTAAAAATTAAAAAATTACTTGATATTTTCGTACAGAACTGTTCAACGTTGTTGAAAATTTTAATTTAATTTATTGACTGTTATGTTTATCAGGCAGTTAAAACATACTAATTGAGAGGAATTTCGGAAACTTTTTAAAATTCTTCGTTTTGTTTAAAAACAAAACGTGCACATATTTTCTGCACGTGTCAACATTTATTATTTAACATTATGATGTTAATCAAACAGATATTTAAGATAAACGTAAGTTGTTACAATGTATAATTTGTATAGACAATTTTAACTGTCATTTTCTTGAACTCACAGTAAATGATAAATAAAAATAACGTCTAAAAAGTATTCGTTGTATCAGTCAAATCATAAATGTATGTGTACAACAAAACCATTCATGAATCATTACGTTTTCTTCTAAAAAAATTTGACAGGGGTCACAGGGCTATTATTGATGATGGTGTTAGTTGTGGTGGTTTTGGTGATTATATTGATGGTGGTGATGATAGTGTTACTGGTTTTGTTGCTGATAATGGTGGATGTGGATGATTATATTAGACAGTGGTGGTTTTGTTGTGGGTGATGGTGATAATGATATTTCAAACTAAACAAATATATATAATAAAAAGTTTATTATACATATGACTGTACAATATCGGCTCGTCCATTAAGACTTTTTCAGCTGTGTACTCGTCCAAATATATTCCCGTATTGTACAGTCAAATGTATAATAACCCTATAAATATATCTAATCACTTTCCCATAATCTCTTCATTATATAAGGACACCACAGGTGTTTACTTAATTAATTTTAGCTTTAAAGATATACCAGATAATTTATGTATACTCTAATGCTATTGTTTCTGTATAAAATAAGCACTTTCAAATACATTTTGTAAGCAGGTAAAAGAAAGGACCAGCGCAGCTTCCCATATTAGTTTATTCATTCTTTTATTCAAATTTGACATATTTATTAAGAATTTTATAGATTTCAATAAACTTCCATGATTAAAATATTTTATTCAAGGATGAGCATAGTATATCTTTAACATATACAAGAGTATATATTAACTATGAAATACAGCCAGTTTTAATTATATTTATATATAGAGAGATGGGTAGGGTATTTCCAAACATTTAAGGTGAAACATGCAGTATACTATCACTTTAAAATTAACCAACTTATCATACCAAAGTCACTCAATTAATTATCAGTATAGTATGTCCTTAATATTTAATAGCAGTGTTTATTCTGGTTGAACACTGGTTATGTTAAATCTTAAGATTTTATCATTTGTGCTATTATGTTTTAGATGTTTAAGCCCAGAATGGCTATATATTCATGTATTTTATATAATGTTGTGTATAGATGAGACTGGAATAAATAAATAAATATTAAAATAAACAATATGTAGTCGTTTGTGAAGGATTACTGTGCGAATGACACGGTCGTAAACTAGCGCGAAAGCAATATGTTATGCTTGGTTTAACACGTCCTTAAAAGTGCATATGTATTAAAAGTTAATACGGGTTAATTCTACTTTCGGTTTTAGCTAGAGTTGTGTTGTATCTTGAAATTATTTTACACATTTTAAGACATTTAATGTATAAATATGACATACTATATATTGTCATTTTTAGTTCTTTGTCTCAGTTTAGAGATGATATTTTATATACAAAAACTGGAGACGTTACAGCTCGAGTACCGTTCGTTATCTGCTCATGTACATGGGCATGGTGAGTTTTTATATTATTTACGTCTCAAATTTAAATCAAGTAAATTAAATTCAGTTATGGGCATTTTGACAGTTTAAGCCAATATGATATGTTTTTGTATTAAGACCGTCAATTTCTGTTAACCAGGAACGTTTATTATACTTTATAAATCCAGAATTTCCTACTTTCGATTTTGATGTGGCTGATTTGCCATGTCGTATTTTCACTCCATGTTACGCAATGCCAAACACGACAATACGACAAAGTGGCACACATCAGCCACCATAGCATCTTTATTTATCATCTATAACCCTTCTTACCTCAACGCAGCACACCCCTAGATATAAAAAAAATCATGAAACATTCGAAACATGTATTTACAAATAAAATATTGTGAAGTGAATTGCAAGAGCTCAAATTTTGCAAAATTAACCCTTACTGCGTTAGTCAGGCAGTAGAAATATGGTGATAAATACTGAAAAATCAGTCATTTATCGCACATACGATCTAGCTTGGATCTTAAATATTTCTACTTTTCTTAAAATCTTACAACTTTTTTTCGCAACTTTGATTTTTTAAAAAAAATATTTTGGCTCATTTGGAGGCATGTAACTTTAAAGATAAGAAAAAACATATACATTCTATAAAAGGTATTTATCCTATTTTACTTGCTAAAACAATTAAGGTACTTTAAACATAACCTGGATTTTAGAGACACCTATAAAAAGTTTTATTCATCTGCCTAAAAGCCCTTTGATATTTTCATTACAGAACCTTGAGGGCGGGAGTACAGGGCTGCGTTCCATGACAGTTACTCTTCCCTGTTGATCTGTCTTCTATGTGCTCTCATATCTTAAATTACTGATAAAACATTTTTGATTTGATTTGTATTTCAATCAAATCTAATGTTCCAGAGTAATTAAGTTTCAACTAAAAATTTACATGCTAATTACTTTACGACTTTTAATTGTTTTATCATATTTTTAAATGGCAAGTAGATTGAATATAATTTTTTAATTTAAATGAAAACTCATGAATAAACATGTATCTTTATTTTGTAGGCAGAAAAAGGGAAAATTGCCCAGAGCAAACAGAAGCAACATGTGTCCGTGATAATACATCTGGAAACAGTCGACCTATCGTGAACGCATTCTCCGTAAGTGATTCAAGATCTGTGTCTCCAGCAGAATCTCAAAATAAACTACACAACTATGCTAAAATTCATTTCAACGAAGGAACAGATTTTAACGCGGACACAGGGACATTTTCTTGTAGTAAACCCGGAGTGTATTATTTCACTGCCTCTCTGATCAAAAAGCGTGCATATGAGAATTCCGAAAAAGTTGATCTGGTACATTGTATTATTTACAAAAACACAGAAACTATGCTGGAATTACTTGTCGATCCTAACGACGGCCCTAAAGTTGATGTAAATAATATCTCTGCAGATATTGGAAGTACGGCTGTGACTAACTCGATGGTTGTACGACTTGAAAGAGGCGACACAGTTTATCTAGGGGATTGTGACAACCCACTGACATCTCTGGAGCCTTACTCTTCTTTCTCCGGATTTTTGTTGTACCAAGATGTCGGAAGCATTTAAGCGTTAAGATATTCATATTGTCAATGTAAGCCGTAAACAGATATATGTTTGTCATTTAAACTTATAACGACAATAGTTGTTTTCGAATGTGTTTTTACGACAGTATTGGGGATTGCAGTAAGGGAATCATGCAATTTCATGCTATCTATATTATCATTTTATCTAAGCTCACCGTTGTTAAAATATTATTAACAGGAGGCACACCTACATGACTATTTAGATAAGACCACAAGTGATCCATTGTCACACCCTAAAGTAATCAACGTGAATAGAACACCAAGGGATGTACTTCTGGTAGTTTGTTCTTAAGGATCATTATATCACAAAATTTAATAAGGAGCTGTATACAGGGTAACTGTTTGTTTTTGTCAGATTGAGGTCCTCGTTCATCTTATATAAAAAATGAAACCTCATAAACCAGGCTGTAAAAATGCCACCCTAAATATTGGCACATCCACCCGTCTGTCCGTCTCTCTGTCTGTTTTGCGAAAATGATATTTCATTTTGTTACTTTTTATCATTTTATTTATCTGTTGCCGGTCCTGATTAATGACTCAACTTTATATTATTAGTTTTTTTATTAATATCTTATGTTTTGTTTTTATAATCCAAAATTATCGCATGACCGCCACAACTTTCCTTTGAAGATCGGCGTTCTCTAAATTCCAGTATTGGAAAACTTTGGGGTGCTCTAAATGAGGTATCAGTACGCTTTGGGGTGCTCTAAATGAGGTATCAGTACACTTTCTCGCGCATGTCCAGTTTATTATTTTAAGTTCTCATTCCTTAGAAATAGAAACAGGGAGATATATGAGAACTGATAGAAATAACAGATTGTGTAAATTATGCCCGTATAAAAATGTTGAATCAGAATACCACTTCTTATTATGTTGTCCCTTATATTCAGAACTGAGAAAATCTTTTATAAAACATGATCTTTTCCACTCTTAAATAAGTTCTATTCTATTATGTCATCAGGAAATAAAAGTAGAATATTGCAACTATGTAAATTTTTAGATAAAGCATTCGCATTAAGATCTAGTGTTTTAGAAAAATGCAAGAATTGTAAATTTGATAGTTTCTGCATTTTTATGTGAACATTGTATATTTGTATTGAATGTATTGAATGTATGTCATATTTCAAGTGATTTATGTATGTTTTGTATGTATTGCCAAAGGCAAAGTTTTGTCGAAAAATGCAATAAAATTTGAATTGAATTGAATTTTATTTCAAATGATAAAGTGAGCATACCTGAAAAAGAGCAAAGCAAAACCGAAAACATTGAAAGAACTTATTTTTATTTATCAAATTTACAAATCATGTCTATCTTTTTTTTTCTTCTTCAAAACTTAAAAATACAGTTATTATAAACATGTTGTCCTCCCCGGAACAAATTTCCGGGTTTCAAAGCGGTTGATTGGTTGTTTTTGGATTCGTCATCACTTGCGTGAGTTGCGTCATGTAGAAGCGTTTCTGTTGATGGTTTATTCAACATTTCGCTTTTGACCTATTCCCTTGCATTCCATTCTGGCGGATTTAATTTATTTGGAAATGTCTACCAAACATTTCAATTTGTGGGTTTATTTTAACGTCGGACACCGGCCACGGATTTTCGATGGCCTGTTCGTTTTCATGATTTCTTGTTCGGATAAAGACTTGTTTGCGCAAGTCTTTTTTCCAGAGTGATTAGTGTAAACACCTTTAAGTTCCCGCGAACTGACATATTTCTTTCATAAAACCTTATAGTTTATTCACGCCTACAACTTGATTTTGAAAAACGCACTTTTCCTGGCTTTCTGGGAAATGAATTTGGTCTCTTATATAAACGCTCCATCTCCAAAGGATTTCAAAAATTGGTCATTATAGTAATCCACTATGTTTTGCCGATTGTTGTAGTGTTTTTATAACTTTAGGTTTCAATACGGCCGGTGTTTCAGGCCACCAATATACGTTTTAGAGTTCTTTCCTGTTATAAACTATAACCTTTTCATTAGAATCTGAAACCTATTTCAAAAACTGATCAGTTTTCCAAAATTTCCTGTGTTCGTCATATCCCCTTAAAACCGAAGAGTTTTATGTACAGTTATAGAAGAAAACAGTGTGATGATTAAAAGAAAGAGCGTTCTTTATTACCAAATTATTCCCTTTTCCCAAATAACTTTTTCTTCGTCTTCTAAAATGGGCTGAGCTTTCCCGTCTTTTGCCGACGACGCCTTCTATTCGTTAGAAATTTCATCTGTGCATACAAGAACACTCCTAAACCTTGCATAATCAGGATTTTTCTCGTCCAAAAAGTTCATACCAGATGTTCCACAATCTCGCAGCTTTCTAAGAAGGCCACATACTAAATGGTAGAGGGAAAGTAATCGCCATTCTGCTTCCTGACCTCGACGACAAATCTGAAACAATGATCAATTTTTTAATTTTTAGCTTTAAACAATGTTTAACAGGAGATACTGACCGAAGAGCCAGTTAGTGAATCACAATCGGAACGTCCTTGACTATTATCTATAATAACTTCGGAAATAATACGGATTGAAAGTAGTTCTACCACGTGGTTTTTGATGTAAACAGAAACAGTGTGTGTTATGTAAAACGAATGTATATTTTGACATCCAAAGGAAAATAATGTTTCGGTACAATTATGTTTGAAAATATATCTAACAACACTTTTTAATTAAACAATTAATTAAACAATCCCCACTGATGTACAATTTTAATCAAATTCGACTTGATGTCATTTAGTACTTTTGGTTTCTACAACCCTATTAATAAAATATATATAATAATGTATTGTTTTGCTTTTGTATCTATGAATTCACTTATATTAGGTGGACTTTTACTTGATATAATCGAAATAAAACTTTTCAACTACTCCCAACATAAAATTTACGAATATATCTCTGAAATATAAAGTAGAGAATTTTCTAGATTTATATTTGAAATCGAGGTAGAAATTAATATTTAACACTGAGAATAGATTCATGAACTTACCTCGACAAATGGATATTAATGTCCAATTCCTCCAACACTGGTATTCCAGGCTTCGTTTTTCTCCACGCCTCAAATGTATTGTAAGCCCATTGCGTGTTACGGTCCGTGTTCTTTGACCTTGAACCAGCGCATCAAGGTCAGAGTCGGACACGCTTTCTCCAAAACGTTCTCTTTTTTCATTATTGAAGGGTTTCTCTTCCTGCTTAAAATCCTGGTCAAAGTCAATCAATTGGAAGTTGCCGAAATAGTTCGGTTGTACATCATTTTCAAAAGTGTCTATTTGACTACTTGTCAGTAGGCCTATGTCATTAAAAACACCACTACGCTCAATTTCACTTAATGTCTGTGAAAGTAACAAATCATCCTGTGTAACGTTTTCACTATTAAACGTAGTGCTCATTTCAAACAAGTCCAAAGCCTGCGATAAAACAAAATCATTATTATCTAACTCCATACTTGTCCCACGACGGGCAAACTGAAAATGACAAGAATTTGGCGCTAAATAAGGTAAACTGCTAGGGCTTAGCGAATTTGATTGTTCATTTTTCTAGGGGTTCACTATATCTCTGCCAGCGAAGGAGCAGAGGCACCGAATGGGTGTATTTCTATGTGTATCTCTAAAATTATCATTTGTTTAAATCATGCGATAATACGAAATATCGAAAATCTCCAAAAGAAGTTGTGGCGGTCATGCGATAAAACAGTTACAGAATATTAACTCGGACTTCACCGGCTGGTATCAGCGCATGGGGCGACAAAAAGGGTCAATCATGGAAATTAATCTCGACGTTCCGTCTCGATTAATTTCCTATGATTGACCCTTGTTGTCGCCCCATGCGCTGATACCAGCCGGTAAAGTCCTCGTTAATATTCTATAACTATTACGTAAAAGTCATGTCCGAGATCATAATAAGAGTCATCAGGCACTGTACTCGAGGAATTGACTTCTTTTATTTTGTTTATGTTTCTATAACCAGTAACAGGTTTTGTCTCCCGGCTTTCTGTCATCATTTTGATCACGAGTGCAATTCATCGAAATGAGCTTCCTTCGGAAGGATCATAATAGGGTGTGACAATCAATCATGCTATAGTTGATACTCTAGCGGCCTATTTGGAAATTTACGAACTTTTATAAGCCTGTTGGATAAATATGTTTCGATAAGATGACAAAACTCATCTTCTGGAAAGAACATTTACTGATATTCTAACAAAATTTACAAATCGTTATGTAAGAGAAATCGAATAAATAGAAAATTACTCTAAATTTGGCCGATACTTAGATACTTGCATAAATGTTGGTTAATTATAAATTATTACATATATAACCTCGTCAGATTTTATTCTTTTATGAAGGAAGACAATATTTTTTGTAGTATCTAGTAATATACAATGTAGGAAATAACAATTATGTCTTGTCTATAACGATTGTTTCTATAAGTCTATGTTTTACTTTTGATTAATCAACGGGTATTGTTACGATGGCCGTCTGTACTTGTTGTTGTTGTTGTTGCTTTAATAAAATTGTTTACAATCAAAATGAAGTTTTATCAATAGTGAAATACTGTACTCACATATATTCATATTGAGATTACATGACGAAAGTTAAACCAAAGTAAACCGTAAAACATGATCAAAGTTCAGTCTTTTTACAGTACTTTTCCGACAACTGTCAAAAATATATTAATTACCGTGAGGTTTTAAAAGAAGAACTTACTTAATTCGGATTTTTTTTATGAATGACGTATTTTCTAACAGACACCTTTTAAGCGTTTATTTGCAATATAAAATTGAATAAAACATAAAACAACAACTAAAGTTTGACTATTCGAAGTACATGGATAGCTGATCCACTCGCCCCGGATTCGGCGTCCGCGTCCAGATTTCAGATTAAAGTTTTGGTGCAGTAAAATATTTTTTACTATAAGTTTTTCAATTCTTAAGGCATCAACTTCAAACTTCAAATATATGTTCCTTATCATCAACCACATCCTATGTGACAATTTTCATAACTCTAGCACCAATATTGTCAGATTTATCTCCCCTTGAATTTAGAATTTTCCTTAAAAATAATGTTTTTACTGTTACTTCTTTATTTCTTAAGGGATCAACTTCATACTTCAAATGTATGTTCCTTATCATCAACAACATCTTATGTGACAAGTGTCATAACTCTTGCACCAATATATTCAGATTTATCTCCCCTTGAACTTTAAATTTTCCGTAGAAATGTTATTTTTACTGTTACTTCTTTATTTCTTGAGGGATCAACTTCACACTTCAAATATATGTTCCTTATCATTTACTACATCTTATGTAACAAGATTCATAACTCTAGCACCAAAATTTACTTAAAAAATATTTTTTTTACTAACTTTAGTTTTAAAGGTATCTACCTCAAACTTCATACACATATTCCTTATCAGCAAACACATCTTATGTGACAAGGTTCATAACTCTTGAAGCAATATTTTCACATTTATCTCCCTTTGAACTTAATATTGTCTTTAAGAAAAAATATAACTTCTTTACCTTTTTAAGGTATCTACTTCAAACTTCAAATATATATTTCTTATCATTACACACATGTTGTGTGACAAGGTTCATAACTCTAGATTATTTCCAGAATGATTCCCCCTTGAACTTGGTATAAATTTTAACAACTATAATTCTTGTCATAAGAAGAAATATATTTATATCATAATTGGTTTTGTCTTCCTTATTGCGTCAAGTATTTAATTAGTCGAGCTTCGCTGTCTTCTGTGACAGCTCTTGTTATTAGAATATTTTTTAATATAATCAATCACTTATTTTTAATGCCATAAACTTAGACAAATTGTCAAATTAAAAAAAAAAACAGTTAACTTGTGTCCCTAAATATAAAATACGATTTTGGATTCATGCACTATTAATCATTTCTTACTAATATGAACATAAATGTCAGATTTTCATCATTTTACTTATTCACTGTGATTGATAAATATTTTAAAGAATCTTTTTCAACATTTGCGATTGATTAATTTGCTGAAAAAAGGTTAAAAAATTTAAAAC